GGGGAGTGCATGTGTATGCCCTGGTGTAAGCTCTCCCGTCGTTTGTCTCAACCAGCGCGTGGCTGCGCTCCCGAAACTCTGCACCAGTGTGAAACGGGGTCCTCTCGTTCGTTACCAGCAAGTAAGCATCGTCAGAGGGAACGAACTGCCATGCCATGCCATGCCATGTGGCCCGCCCGCGGCCCCTCTTTCAACAAACCTCCCCCTTCCCAGCCCCCGTCTCACATCGTCCCCTCTCTCTCCACTCCAACCGCAACCCCCCGGCTTTTTTCCCTTGTCCACCAACACCACCACAAACACCGCCTCGTCCTCCTACATCCCTCCCTCACCGGCGCCGCGCCCCCCCAAGCTCAAACAGGTCCCTCGTGTAAGACACCTAGAAGCTAGGTAACTGCGTATCTTGCAACGCCATGTGGCTGGCTTTTCCCCTCTCTCCTTCCAAACCCCTTCTCGCACGCCCTGGCGCGCCAGAGAACAGATGATGTGCGCCTTGCCGCCGCCGACTTATGTACATAGCCAGTTACGCACCTAACGCCTGCCCACGACCGCCGGCTTGTTCAGCCCTTTGGGGGCCTGTGGAGAAGCTCAACTGGGCTGGGGCCCATCCCGTTGAAGATCACTTCTTCAGCAAGACCTACCCAACACGCAATTGGCCCAAGCGTACGTGCGTACGTAGGTGCGTGCGTCGCGTGTGCATGCAGATTTTTATTTTATTTTTATTTTTGGCAGACAAACGACACGCCCTGCCTGGTCTGCTTCCAGCGTGATTCCAAGCCCGGCGTTTGTGCGTGCGGCGGTGTTGGTGGCTGAGTTTCTTCTTTGGTGTTGCTCGCCGCCAGCAAGGCTTGGATGGAGCAGCAGCTAGATAGCAGCTTCAGCCCAGACCAAGCCAAGCCAAGCCCGATCTACACGTAGACACCCGCCGCGTGGCGAGGTTTAGCAGCCTGCACGCGCACATCACCAGGACACTTTTGCGCATTCTTTAGATAGTAACCTAGTCTAACAGGCGTGCATCCAGTATGATCGCTCGTCCACGCTTCTTCCAGGCTAGTAGACATGGAGTTGCCGAGACCGACCGCAACTCCCGCAGAGAGCGATCAGCGCCCTGGCTCGGTGTCAAACACGCCGACGTGCGCAAGTCTGTGTCGTTCCCTCTCGCCGCGTCTTCTTCAGGTCTGCTGCGGCCCCAGACCCCCTCCCCCCTTTGGTGATCCATTGCCCGGGGGGCGGGGGGTAAAGAGGCATCTTCTTCTCTTCTGGGCATCGTGCGTTTACCATCGCCTTGCGCACCCTGGGCCAAAGGGGAAAGGGGGTGGAAGGGGAAGGGGAGGAGGGAGGGGAGAGAGGCCTGCACGAAGGAGCGCGGAGAGGGTTGCACTCACGCACGCGACACTGCACGCCATCGTCAGTTCTGCTCTGCCCCCCTGCGCCCGCGCCCGGCGTCGAAACACACCACCAGAGAAGTCTTTGCTTCCGGATACGTCACCGATGTCACGGCAGCAGCGGCTATTGGAAAACTAAAAAAGAACATGGATGTTGCGGCCGAGCCTCAGGGACTGCCGGACGCGATACCTATGCGACACAGGTTCTTGTCCTCATTCGTGCGATTTCTCTTACTCAGTCGAAAAGCGGCCCGTCACAGCAATGCAGCGCCATGCAACCTCTTTGCGTATCATCATTACCATGCAAGGAATTCTTGCTGCATATATTACTATGTCAGGTCCTCCGCCGCAGCCGTCGCGCCTCCGGGACCATGAGATGGCAGCTCTGCGGACGACGGGATGATGGCATCGGCCCCACGAGCGGCCAGGTCCGACATGCCGTGGCGTTGTACCCCGTAGTTGCTGACGGTGACGAGTGGAGGCGGAGGTTGGACGCTCGACATGACAGCGCCGGCGCGATCCCGTAGTTCCGGCTTCTTGTTCCTGTTTCAGGCTTTGATGCAAGCCACAGCTGCCTTGCCTGGCACCCCTGTCCCTGTTCACGAAACCCCCTGTCCCGGAGCCTCACCATCATGTTCCAGAAACACTCCGCACCCTGGCAGCACCCCATCTCAGCCGTACGCCACGCAACTGTCAGAAAATCGGAGTGATCTTCAAACACCAACAAAGTCCACACCAGATGACAAAGACGATCACCGTGATAGGAGCTCTAAACGGCAAGAGAAACTTCAACAGCAGATAAACAGCATCATGATTAATTATTGACTCGAATTAATTAATGCAAAGGGCATGAGTCGTAACCCTGTCAGCCGTTTCGCAAAGCAGCGAGCAAGCGTTCAGTGTTTGAAAAGTGCAAACTCGCGATGGACATCAAGAAAAAACATATGCAGCATGGGACAAACTCCCAGCAGGCCGTTGCCAAATCGTTTCGCGGAACGGGTATCTTGCGTTCGAGGCCGTCGAATACAGAACAATACGTATCGTGTTCGCGTACTTTGAGCCCGTTTGAGGCGATGCAAACTCGCTAAAAGAGGGTGGCCCGGGCTGATGGGCCTCATTAGTGCGCTCCTTCATGGCTTGAAGACGGCGCTAGTGAGCATCATCTTCTTCTCGGCGGGATCGTCCTTCATGGGCGGTGTAGGCGCCGGAGGAGAGATGGGCGCTGCCGTGTCATCTGGGGTGTTGCCCGTGACACCGACGGTGGGCGGGGCGGCAACCTTGGTGGGAGTGGCGCCGGAAGCTGGGTTCTGAAGTCGGGCAGTAGCTGGAGAGCTGCTCTCCCCGCTGAGCTTCTCGTGGCTCTTCTGTCTTTCGTGCTCCGTCCGGACGGGGTCGGGCCTGTTCTGGGATGTCTGCTCGCCGACGCTGCTGCTCATTTTGGAGATCTCGTTCTCCACGTCGGCCAGTAACGCGTAGACATCGTCCCCGGCGTAGATCCTGATGCTCTCGACGTCTCCTCGCCCCATAGTGACGGTGCTGGTTGCACGACTGCTTCTCTCCTGCTCAGCCGCCTCCTCAATGACCGGCTGTTCCAGAATCGTGCTGGGCACCTGCGCCACCACTCGTTGCGGGGATGGGGAGCAGCTCCCGCTACGGGCAGCAAACGTTTGCTTCGACGGGCTCCTCGGTGGCGTCGAGATATCTTTCGGGGGTGGCGATTTCAGGGCATGTGCGTGCGGCGATGAGTCGCCTGCGGTCGCTTGCCTGGTCTGAGTCGGGAGTATCGTTGCGGCAGCAACGTGTTCGAGTAGCTTCTGCCGGACGCGGGTGCGTCGATTCTCAGCATGTTCGAGCTTGGTGACCCAGTCGTCAATGGAGGCGTCAAGCTCTGCCAGGGCCTCTTCCTGCTTAAGCATCGATTCGTGGCTGAAACGAGCCACACGTGGAGAGCGAAGATACTGGCAAATTCGGGTATGCAGGTTGCGGCGGCCAGCTCGGAGAGACGTGTATGTTCGTCGGAGATACTCTGTCCGCTCATCAAGATGTCGAAGTTCCTGTCCATGTCAGCTATTGCTTGCACATTTCAATAACCCTCTCTCCGGGACCACTTTGTACCTTTGATAGAGCTTCGACATCGTCAGCCCTGAGAACTTCAAATCTCTCTGCTTGCCCGTACGCCTGCTTTTGTAGAGTGGCAACCTCGTTCGCGTTGAGCTTGCTCGTAGCCTCGGACGGCTTCCAGCCCTTTGGCAGCTCCTCGAAAGCCCGTCGCTCGCAGCTCTTTCCTCGCTTGGCGTCGCTGCATTTGAGAAGCGGCCCGTTGTTGTTGCGCACTTCGACGCGCTTTCTAGCCCTGCCCCTGTCCATGATTCCCGAAGACTCAGACGCTCCTCTCCGGTGCCCAATAACCTTTCGTACTCCATCCTCGGGCTGCCGCGCCATGCCACGCTCGCCAGCTGTAGATCCCTCCCACGGCCTGGGAGAGGCACGATGGGACTCCATGAGGGGGGCCGATACTGGAGTGGGCAAGGTAGTGGCAGAGGCGGCGTCTGTGGTTGCGGACCGGGAAAATGTCAGATCTGGCGTCGACGCACTAGGGGTAAACCGTGCACGGCTCATGGGTGAGACGTCGATTCGAGCTGACCGGGACGAGTTCAACGGAGGAGTACTGTCAGACCTGACTGTTCCCAGTGGTGCCCTAGACTGTAACAACGGAGCTGGCGCGTTGGTTGCTGGAATGACGAGTGGTGCAAGACGTTTTGGAGACATGGCCCTGGCTGAACTCGCGACAGGGGTAAACGCTTCCTCAATGACCTTGGCGAAGAAGTCGTCCTCGTCGTCTTCATCTGTCGCTGAAAACGGTATGGCAGTCATGGCACGCTCAGGCTTGATTGCCTCCTCGGGGGCGCTGATGGAACGCTCATGGAGGGCCGGCCTGCCAGGGATCGTTGCTGTGCACAGCGTTGTCAGCAACATCATTGTCAAGATAAACAGCGCGGGCTCATGTCGTACGTGAATCCATGGAGATTTCTTGCACAGTAGTCATCGGGCCAAGCTCAGGCACGCTGACCTTGCGTCGACGAACGAGTGGGTGCTGATTGATCCGAAGCCTCAGGTTGGAGCTCCCGCTAGTCTTCTCGCTGCCGTCGGCAGCCTGCCCCATGGCTATAGCAAAGGCCTTTTCGGGAGCCACCGTCTTGCCACTTTCAAGGGTTGGCAGTTGCTTCCTCTTAGGGAAGAGTTGGTATTTCCGTTGACCGTCTGGCTGAAGCATCCTCCACGTAAAGGGTTTCTCTGAGGTGGACTTTGGCGGCGTTGACTGTGTAGCGGAACGTCAATGCAAAGTCTTGAAAGCCGGATGGGCTAGGCTGTAGGTTCAACCCAATGTGTGGTGCTTACCGAGACATTTTGTGGTGCCGGCGAGCCCGGTTTTGACATGGACGCCGGCTCAATGCCGGCGATGCAACTGGCGATGTGAGCCATGGTGGCGGCAGGCTGAAGCAGGTCAACCGCCGGGATGTCCAGGCTGGTGAGGGTCAGAGATATATGAACCCGGCGCCTCCAGTGTCGCAAAGTCGGGTATAATGGCTAAAGATAAGCCATAGCTTGACAGCCACTGGGATGGGGACGAAGTCAAAGTCAAATAGGTGTGGGTGGTATATATTCGGGGATCCAGGCCAGACATGTTCGCAAGGACATGGACATGGATGCCGGGGGCCTGACTCTTCGCTTGCATCCGGGTTAGCTGCACCCTTGGCCGTGAGAGCTCCACTGGCAGGGCCATTGTCCCGGTCCCTATCGAGGCGAGGAGGGTCCCCGAGTGTCAAGGCCATCGAGAAGCGTGCGGTGGCCAGGATTCTGAGACGAAGCTTGCATTGGTATGGATGGGTAACCAGAGGCCCGGGGGTCGGCCTCGACGGTGGTGGTGGTGGGCTTGGTGGTGGTGGTGGGCTTGGTGGTGGTGGTGGAGGAGGTGGTGGGGGGGGCGCGGATGTGGGGAGGCGAAGGGTGTGGTCGCTGTGGTGTGTGGGAATCAATGCAAGCCTGAGTAGCCCGCACAAGGGTGTTGAAACCACGGCAGGGCGCCAACACGAGGCCACGGATAAGGCTCGAAAGGGAATGGCCTCGAGGCTCGAGAACCGGGCGGGCCAGGCACCAGGGCAGCCCACAACGCCTCTGTCCGTACCGAGCATGCGAGCCACGATGCGCAGGTGGGTGCCAAACAGCTCCGGTCCCCTTGAACCCCCCTCCCTGGCTGCGTTCGAGTTTTTCGTCACAACCCGGGGATGTGCACAGTCGAGGGCCGCCGACTTTCGCAGCTCTCGCAACGCCGAGATCTGCTTGCCCGCAGTGCCATTCGGGAAAGGCGGACAGGCTTTGACGGTCACGGCACCGCCGTCTACCCATGCCAGGTGCCGAGGGGTTGTTGAAGTCGGCGGAGATGTCAGCAGGAGGCTCCCTCATCGGACATTCCGTCCTGTAACCTGTTGGGTTGGGTCACTGAGAACGTGTTGCCCGGCGTCCACAACCCACTGCCAACACCGCAAAGGTCGTGCGCTTCCACGAGCCATTCACATAACACGGACGACCGCGGCGTCCGCGGCTTCCAGCTTGTTCACCCATCTGCTCGCATGGTCGAGATTAATCTGGCCCGCTGAGTGAGGTTGTGAATGAATCGCCTCAAGACGTTGGCCGCAGTGGTGTCGGGCCGCAAGCAAGAAAGGCGCGAGAGGCGCGCTCGGTCGACCCATGTTGTCGCGCGCCTCGAGCGCAAGTGTGGGCGTGCTTATTCCGAAGACGAGATTGTCAAAGGACTGTCCGTCCACCGCCCTTACGGGGCTCTGCCGAGCCGCCATCAGTGCGCTGCAGAAATGCTTGACGGGACGGGACCCTCGTCCAATCGAGTCCGTCCGCGCATCCCTGGCCCTGAGCGCGTAGAGCAGAGACTCACACGGCAGCGCAGTTTGTGGGCCAGGGCACTTGTCAACCCGCAGCGGACGTCAGTACACTCTCCGACCGTTGCTTGGCGCTGCCTCTTGTCACGTCAGGAGATTGAGGATTGTGCTCACACATCGTGGCCGCTGATCTTGCCGGATCAGCAGCATGCTTGCAGCCGGGAGACTCGTGATACGGCATCGGCTGAAATGGTGGCCTGTGCGAGTCACTGTGTTCGAACATGAAGCACGAAAGGCACGAGGGTGCCGTGCGATAGCTACATCCACCTTGTGGTGAGTCGCGACTTCCCGAACAGGCATTCGCCATGGCTCTTACCACACTGCGCAACGACAGCTGGAGGGCACCTTCCCTCTCTTTTGATTCGATAGAAAGCGGGTAAAGTAGCTCGCCAGGCAGGCACTCGGGCACGCTTGCCCGAACCATGCCGCCTCTTCATGATGGCAGCCTGCAATGCCTCGCGACTCGCCGGCCGACTCGAGTCATGCTGGCCCTCGCATTTGCGATGGGCAAGTGTTGATGAGATGTCGGTGATTGAGCTGTGAGCATCCGACTGCGCAGCTGGCAACGCTTGGCAATTCTGCCCGATTCTGGTTGGACTTACAAAGTCGCCAGCCCCCACTATCACGTAAACCCATCACGCCGACGAAAACTACACCGGTCATGCCGAGCTGCACGATAGCTCACTCCTGCATTATCAAGGTAAACTTGGCAAGACGGGACTTGCGCTGATGCAACAGATGATGCCGTTGCACGGGACCCAACATCAACCCGTTGAACTCAGCTTGTCCGGAGCCAACGTTGGTCCAGATGATGTTGCATGCACCCCGGCTCACCCAGATTTGAGGTGGCATTCGCAGGTGCCTCGTCGACCGGAAAACGGCCTTCGCAACGTGCTGTGGCCCACTGGATCTCGGCCCGCAAAGCACGGGCACCGAGACGTGACGACCAACATGAAAGCGGATCGGCGTCTTCATCTCGCGGGACTTACTGGATGGAGGACAACAGGGGGCTTTTGCGAGCGCCCAGATTCACACTCCGCCATAAACAAAATGCAGTAGTCCAACAACTGCAACAGGTGAACTTGAGAGTTCGAGAACGAAGGGACTGGAAAGATGTGTGACTCAAGTTGTTGGATGACGATGCAACATGGGTGTAAGCACATGGCAGATACCCAGGACGTACGATCACTGGAGCGTTTGTAGGTGATCTTCTGGCCACAACAATCTACAAGCATTTGACACGGAGAATGCCACTTGCGCCTTCAGTTTTGTCATTAAATCAGCTCGTGTCACAAAGAGCTTGTCAAGAACCGCTGCCATTGGCATACACTACCCCCTCCCGAGGAACATGGCCGTTGTGTTACGTGCTGCCGATGCGTTCTGGTCCTCGTAACACATCATCTGCCGAGTCATGGATACGCAGAAGCAAATCTCGTTTTGCACAGAGAAACTGGGGTAATCGACGGAGTGTTGGTGATCATGTCTATCGCGTCGCCCCGTATGGTTTTACTCATGCCGTTGGCAACGCTGAACCTGGCCAGATATCTCTTGTTGACTCGAGTCCAGGCAGTCTATTCAGTGCTACGTGACAGGCCTTCGAACATCACATCATACCTCATCTAAATCGTTCAGTTCTCATATGCGGGTGGCTGACAAGTAGCGAGGCGGCCTCGACACTCATTCGAGTTGGGGACACCATTGACGGACTGCCACGACAGGTGCTGGGGCAGGATTCGCAACAGCAGGAGTGTGCTGGGCGGAATGCCAAGAGAGTTGAGGCGAGGCTTTCCGACTGCGACGCAAGAATGCTAGGGTGCAGTGTGCTTGCCCGCACGGACATGCTCGCCATGGTGTCGCTCGGACGGCCAAAACATCATCCCGCGAACCCCAGTCAACATCGCATTCTTCGCAAGTAATCCGCACCAAGGAGAACCACGAATTGGCAAGTCCTTGCTTGCAGAGACAACGACCCCGCACTTGACCGGTTGTTATCGGCGCCATGTTCGCAGGCCTAGCCCTGCTTCTTTGCCAACATGATCATGGTCATGCCCTCGATCACAACCATGCCTGTCCTGGTCGGCGATCGCGCGCCAACGGCACATTTGACACTGGTGCCTCGTCCATCCTCCATGGTCGGAATCTAGAGCAGCTTTGTCATTGAGCTGGACACTGCTTCAAGGCTCGAAAGATATTGCGACAACCATGCGTATTATTGACAGGCCTGAGTCTCACTTTTCCAAGGTTGACCGCTGTCTACGCAAGTGAGGACAACTTCGTCGAGTGCTGGCTACCTTCGTCCCTGGGACTGGACAGGTCATGTCTTGAAGTACACATAGCCATAATTCTTCGAGAAGCACCGCTGTCCAGGGTAGCACATCCCAAGCTCACCGTTGCAGGCGCACGATGCTTGTCGGTCACGCCGAGGCTGCAGTAAAGACTTGCTGTACGTCATGCCTCTCAATCCTTTTCTCCATTGCCTGCTCTGGCAATCCGTGCATCGTGGCTTCAGTCTCTACGCCTTCGGAATGTGACCTGATGATCGCGACTGTTCATGCATGTTTCGTCACTCTCACGTGCATTCCATGCGCAATGACACGCAGGGATCCCTGAGCATGAGCACACTGGCTCTTCCAGCAGTCCGAGCCCGAGCGACAATGCGACACATCGCGTATGAACCGCATAGCTAGCCTTCTTCAGAGCAGCCGGGTAGTGTTGCGAACATTGCCTTGCGAACTGCGTGCAACCCGGTTATCACGGTTATCTGTTCCCGGCGTGTTTCCGAGCATCCTTCCGAGCGTGTTCGCCGGATGTTGAGCCTTCGACTGCTCCGAGCAGACGGCAGCCGTCTCAAGTCCATGACGACATCGGGCTTCTGCGATAGAGGGACAAATCACGCTCAGCCTGGGTCTGTGCGAATCGCGGTGACTGGAAATTGCCGCCACGCCCGGGCAGCTGGCGGCCACAACACGAAAGCGATGTGACTCCGTTGCCGAACAAAGCAGCGGATGCAATTGCCATCATTGAAAACTGAGAGGGAAAGAGGAACAGCCAAGTGACAAGGCTATTGAGCGCCAGGCGACAGGCAAGTCCAAGCCTCAGCGGACGTCTCTCGGCCGCTCTCCCTTCAAAGACCCTAGCTCCCCCGCCAATGCTGGAATATGCATGTTCGTCTGAAAAACGGCGCAGCGGTGCCCTTGGCCTGCATGAGGCGGGCAGGGAACACATTGTGTAACACGCTTCACACGAGGTATCAGGGTCCGAGCGGCTTCTATTGACAAGGATACCCCTGGAGAGCGCTGCCGGCCGGCGGGGGTCTGAGAGCCTGAGACGTGGTTTCACCCTCCAAAACGTTTCCCACTTCTTGCGACGGCCGAGAGTCGTTGACGTCGCATGGCGGAATCCGGCTCCACGGACGAGGGAAAAGCTGTGTTTCCCTCTCTTTCAGGCCGGCACAGAGATGGATGGCAGGCCGGCATTTGGCATACGGGATGTGCCAGATATGCGCACCGGTCTTTTCTTCTTGTCGTCCTCGGCACACAGGCCTCACGCAGCTCCGGTAAGCCCCCGAGACTCCGGGCACTACGGAGAAGTCCGCGCCGTTGGCAAGGGAAAGCGTGCGGGGAATCAACGTATTCGACCGCATTCATGTTTCGTGCGGAACTTGTGGAGCGGTGCTTACTCGCAAGGGTCCTCGCGCCCGCCCGCGCGCGCGCGTGCAGTGCACGGGCTGGACCACGATGGCGGCAAGGGAAGAGGACAAGGAAGGGCTCTGGACAAGGCAAAGCGCTGCAAGAATGTGGTCTGAGCCTGACGTCGGCGCGGCCGTAGCGCTCCGCTGCCGGCGGGAAGAGGCGCGAGCAGGTGCCCAGCGTTGGTCAGAGCGACAGGGCCGGGACGGGGAGGCAGGCATGGGCCGTCGATGTTCATGTTGGCGGCGGCGGCCACCACGAAGCTCCAACAAGGACCTTGACGCCGCCGAAGACGAACCAACTCCGGGTCGGTAAGTGGGGCCGACCCTGTTTATGGCGCTCGCGATGCCGGGTGCAGGAGGACTCAGGAGTCTAGGGTTCTCAGGAGCTGACCTGTCACTCTGGGGGGCGGCTTGACTTGGGCGAACAGCTCTCGCGGATGCATGAGACTAGTAGGTGAGAGTGCGGCGAGTATATGAAAGAGTCCGACAGTTCTAACGCGAACTCGCCAATGCGGCGCCTCGTGCGAAACGCGAGTTGAGTCGCCGTACCGGTCCGTACACGACGATGAAGCACCATTGTGACAGGTTCGCGTGGACTGCCCACACATTTGACTGTATGCTTCCTCTTTCGCTTAGTAGCCAAGTGCTCCCACGACGATCATCGGCGTTGTCTAGCATCGGCCGGAGAAAATACTGGTGCTAAAAGGGGTAACACCCCTCCGATCAGCACCCGTGCACCCGCAGAGCATGAAAGTGACGGGCCCGAGTGAAGCGACAGCGGACCGTGGAGACGGATCCCGGCAAGACACGGGCAGTTGCAAAGTTGATCGACGACGTACGGGATTCTACCCCTCCTCCTCAAGTCCGTCGCCGTAAGCCAGCCATCGGCCGGGCCTGTTGATGGCCGACCCTGTGTGCGGCGTGTTGATCTGTGCACGGACGCGCGCTATTGCCCCCTTCAACCAAACATTGAGCCCGCCGCCTATGCCCCAACGGAAGGCGACACAGAGATGGCGCATCTCGTCTGCCATTCTTGACATTTACCAGTGCTAGTCGCGGCAACGTGACATGTGTCGTTGTGTCTATTCTGGGCTTCTTGTCTCACGGGGGCAGCAAATGAAGTGCGCTCCGGCTCGTGCGTGTGTGCGCGTGGTGTTTCTCGTCGCATTGCAGGGCGAAACAGCGCAGGCAATGGGTTGTTTGGCCTCGTCAAGTTTCACGTCCCCGCACCAAGCCTGTGGACCAATCGCGCAATTAATTTCGCTGCCAAAGTCTGGCTCAGGCGGACGGCTTGTGTCTTGGGTTGCTCGGGCGCAGGCCCTCGAATCCGTGCACCAAGGACGGTTCACGAACAGGAGGGGCGTTTGGGAAATTATCGGGACGCTGAGACTTTGAGACTCAGCGAGACAGCAAAAACGCTGGATGCTCCCTCGATTATTACGCCGCGAAATTGAGACGCATATGCTCCGCAGCTGCGACCTCTGAACCCGTGAACCCCGACGATAGCTGGCGTCTACGCATGGGGTGTGTCGACTTGCGACGAATAGTGAACCGGCCGGGTCATGGTTTCGTCCGGAGACCCGCCGCCCAGTATCAAGACCAAGGAAGGCGTGCGGGACGCATAACAGACAGCAGGAGATCTTTACTAGGCATAGAAGAATGCCGTGGCATATCCTGTAGGTGTGAAACTGGATGGACTTCAAATGCCGAGCAGTATTTATCCGGCCCTGGAGGCGGAGTCGGCGAACCACATGCTACGGGCCCGGCACTGCAGCTGAGCTCCGCTGGCCCGGAGGCGGCATTGAAACGGATGGGCGACGGCAGTTGAGATGGGGAGAGTTTCAGCGTCGGACGTTGATGAGCTGAACTGGATGCACCTCGGAAGTCTTTCTTGAGCCCGATGGTTGGCGTTGGAATCCATGGCCTAGAAGCCGCGGTGGTCACTGCGTGGGTAAATTTGCACCGATGCAGTCAGTCAGTCACCTATGTCTCATGCCATGCATTCAGCAGCGTCAAGTTGTCGCTGGCATTTTTGGTTCTGGGACCGGACGAGGCGAGAATGACACGGCGCGGCACACCACAGCCATTTGATGTTACTTAGGTAGCTGGCGGGTTTGGATACGATCATTGAGATTGAAGAGTGCAAATGGAATGGAAATGGGCGCATCAATCGAGCTCCATCAACACAGCAACATACCTCAACAAGCGCTCTTAATCAATTCGGATCGTCGCAGTTCTAGGCAGCCGTTGCAATCTACACGGCATAAGGCCTCTGTCGGGCAGGTCGAAGGACAAATGGGGAAGGTCCCCCACAGCATGACGACACCCTCAGCAAGTACGGAGTAGACAAAGTCGAGATGACCTGAACAAATCTACGTCCTTGACAATCAGACTGCCTTTTGCCTCATTTTCGCCAGCTTTGGTTTCCCTTCAACTGCGTTTTGGCACAACTACGACCCGCAAGGAGCACGAGAGACCCCCCAGTACAGTCGCGATCCTCACTCATCAACATATGCGTGCGCTATCAAGCCTGGGACCGTGGCCGATCTTGTTGCAAGTCGCCGCCGTCGCTTCGCACGCAGACGCCTCCGTCCAACTCCCCCTCTCAATCGCAGCCATGGCCTCCAACCCCATCGACAAGCTGGCCATCGCCCTGCACCAGACCAGCAGCTCGCCCGCGACGGTGCGCGCCACCGTCACCAACAACAACGACCACCCCGTCACCGTCCTCACCTACCAGTCGCCGCTCGACCCGGCGGCCCTCGCGCTCGGCCTCCTCTCCATCACGCCGTCCGGCGCGTCGCAGCCGCTGGAGCTGCCCACCATCAAGATGTCGCGCCAGTGGCCGCCGCAGGGCGACGCGCTCGTGTCCCTCGACGCCGGCGCGAGTGCGACCAACGACCTCGTCCTGGAGAAGCCCAAGGTGCCGACGGATAAGTTGGGCGAGGAGGCGACGGTCGTGTTGGAGGGCAAGTGGATGGCTGTGTGGCCCAAGGCCAGGAGCGAGCTGAGCGACGAGGAGATTGACAAGTCGACTCAGCATGGGTTTTCTCGGGCGTATAAGACCGATGAGCTTGTGATTAAGGTCGGGTAGTGGCAATACCAGAAGCCCGAAAGGTCTCACAACTCATTCACCTCACGAAGTAGACATTGGCACGTCGAGATGACTATGTAGCGATCTTCAGTCTGTGTCTTACGATGAGGCCCAATTCATTATATTCCATCAACATGTCTCAATCATAATCACCATTATACTCTATCATCATGCGCTCTCATGCGGCCGTTGTATGCGCCTGCTCCGTGATGTTGCCTGGATGCTCGACCCACCACTCGTGCAACGGCGGTGCGCCAGAGACAATGAGGTCTATCGGAGTGTCCAGCAAGAATCGATTGATGACATCCGGAGGCGCGACATTCAGATCGTCAAGTCGGACAAGTCGCTGGCCATATCTCCTCAGGAACGCCGACAGATCGCCTTGGCTCTCGGGTCTCTTCAGAAAGAACCACACTCGTTCCAGGAACCCGCCAGCGTTCTCTGGAAAGTCTACCCCGGGGAAAGCAGGCGCTGCGACCATTGGTCAGTCCGCTTTGTTGCGCATCGCCTGAAGGAAAGACAGTGGACATACCAAGGCCAAAGTGGCGCATCTCTCTCTCGGTCTCCATCACTCGGTATCGAGAGAAGACGGTATCCACGAGCTCCAGTTTCCGGGCCATGATGTGCAGGTTGTACATGGTGATCTCGAAGGGCACGCCGTTCTCCGCCCATACGCTCCAGAAGTCGCGTTCGTGGGCTCCCTCGACCTGCAACACCATGTCCGAAATGACCTTCTTTTCGATGATCCACTGCGTACTGCAGGTGTTTTCGTAAGCGCAACGGGATATAGCACGATGGCACGTTGGCGGCTCACCTCTCCAGCGTCCAGGCGTCAGGGCCAAACGATGTGATGGACCGCCCCAGAACCTTGGCCGAGTTCTCCATGATTGACCTCATAAAGTCTGTGCTGGTCCTCATGGATCGAAATATCGTAGGGGCCTTGACGTAGGCCTCAAATGTCTCGCGGAAGCTAAACGGCCGCACGGCGATCGATTCGGAGTCGAGCCACAGCGCAGAGTCATAGTTGAAGCGTATAGCCGCGGCCAATTTCTTGACGCTCTGATAGCCGAATTTTCCGAGTTCCTGGAGCAGCTTGGACGTGTCGTTGCGCGCCACGTCGCTCGTCAGGAACGCCTTAGGCAGGATGTCGTAAACATTGACAACGTCGACGGACGTGATCGGTCTCTCGCGGTTTTGCATGGGCACGTCCCACCGCCCAAAGGTCTTTCCGCACGGCTCCGAGCCATCCAGCAGCTCCCGGAGGGCGGCCGCCTCGCCGGAGTCGGACACGATGACCTTGAACTGGATTTCTTGGTGGTCGACGCACAGACAGCGTATAGACTGGAAGAACGAAACTACGTAGTGGAAGTGTCCGGCCTGTAGATCAGAGCAAGGGCTTGTCAGCCTCTCACCGTGTACAGACATGGCGATGACTACTAACAAAGGTGGGCAGGAAGACCGCATATCGATTCCCGCCGCTGAAGTTGGGAACGGTGGGGATGTTCCAGCTGTTGGGCGCCGCGCAGCTGCCGCCTACCGCTTTACGCGGGCGATCGGCTATGAGGGTGTAGACGGAGACGAACACGCCATAGCAGGCGATGCCATAGACGAAGAGAGGCAGCAGGGTCTTGGGCCAAGACCTCATCCTGCACCAAACGTCAATAAGACATGGGACAGTCGCGAAGACGTGAGGCTCATGCAGGTGGCCTTACGCGTGGGAGCATACGCTCGGAAGGCAAGGAAGCATTCTGCAGAGTCGAGATCCAGGGCATTCATCATCGACAGACCGGAAAGGCGGTAGTCCAAGAGTCTGTTGACGGACATGTAGCGGTGCGCATATGGCACGGCTGAGCGTCTATAGGGGCTGAAAAGATGCGTCCAAGGGGACACCGGACTGGTCCCTTCTGATAATCGGTGTAGCGAAAGCACGAGTGTAACGCGCCGTGACGCGCCCGGGCGGACATTCCTGCCATTATAATGCCCTGGATTGAGTTTTTCTCATCATCGCATGTACAATGTCAGGCCACGAATGGGCTGGACAACCAATTGGTTGGGGGTGGAGGCGCAGGGCTCGAAGTGGAAGTCAAGGGGAGCGGCTGAGATTGAGGGCGCGAGAGTGCTTGGATACGTCGCTCTTGATGCCCACAGTTCCTGCCTCATAGCATGGAAAGGATCCAGGGTCTTGAAACCGACGCGACCATTCGGCAACGTCACCAGATGCTGCATGGCCAGGTTGCTCATGTTGTGCCTGTCCCAGTCCATTTGCTCGTCCCATCATGTAACTGCCCAGGCTGGTGTTTTTGCGCTCCTGTCTTCGCTGCTTGTAGATGGACCCCAAGGAGGCAAGGGGTCTGGCCCTCACACTCTCAGCAAGTGCAAACGGATTTGGATTCCTCTGGCTCCACGCGCAATGAAGCGTCCTGGTTGCCCTGCCCAGGGGCCAGGAGGTTGCCCACAACACGGAGGATCGGGCCTGGAAAGTTCACCGACGCCCTGACGAGACGGGCCACCTGTGCCCCGCCATTGCCCCAGCGCATCTGGGCGCTGTAACAGTTGCGTGTTTCTTCCACTGGTCTGAGTAAGAGTTGGGCCAACCTTGCGTCCCGTGGCTTGACGCCTGTGAAGGCCCCTCCTGAGAGCCGCACCCAGGTACTGTCGAGTGGACAATGAAGCATCCATTTTACCCTGCCTATGCCCTCACGCATTGCTTCATAGTTTCTGCTGCGGAATATCCGGCAAGGCTGCCGTACCCGAACCCGGCGCCGACGGGGCCCCGCCGGTTACCATCGGCGGGTCCGATGGGACGGGCGGGCCAGGCACGCGAAGCCGAAGCCATTCAGGTATGAAGTGCGTATGTGGTTTTGAACGAACATCACTACGAGACGAAAGTGTCTTGAGATTGATCGTCCTTGCAGATTTCCTTCTCCGGACTGCAGTCGCCGTGGTCGGGGGATAAAAGGAGCTGGAGAGTAAACAGCATGTCGGGGTCAAAATTCCAAGGAGGAGGAGCTGCTGCTGCCCGCGAGTGGCACCGTTGGCAGGCTGGCGGGGCGCACGTGATGGCTAAAGTCGCATTAGGCATGTGTGGACTTTGGAATCCGGATGGCGGCACCTACACTGGGCCTTTTGGGCCGTGAGTGGCCTGTGTGTGTGTGTACTTTACGTAGTGCAGCACGGTGAGTGAGTGAGAGAGAATCTGGACACATGTCGTGGCTCTCCGTCTGCATCAAGAGAAGCGGCCTCTCCTTGCCCTCGCGACTATCCATCACCGTCACGGCAACAGCAGCAGCAGCGAGGCGGGGCTTTGCGACCAGCAGCAACAACACCAACCCCTCATCTTCCTCATCCTCCGCCTCCGCCTCCATCACCACCACCACCACCATCATGGCGGCCACGCAACGCGACCCCACGACCACCTCCAACTACGGAGCATGGCGCACCAAGCACACCACCGTCGACTTCAAGCTCGACTTTGACGCCAAGCGCCTCAAGGGCTCCGTGATCCTGCAGCTCGAGAGCCAGACGGACCGCCAGAGCAGCGAGGTCGTCCTCGACACGCGCTTCGTCCACGTCTCGTCCGTCAATGTCAACGCCAAGGAGTCCAAGTGGGAGCTGAAGCCGCACTCGGACCCCTTTGGCGCGCCCCTGCACGTCTCCGTCCCCGAGGGTGCCCCCAAGGGCGAGCTCATTGACGTCGCCATCGACCTCGAGACAACGGACAAGTGCACCGCCCTGCAGTGGCTCACCCCTGCCCAGACGTCCAACAAGAAGCACCCGTACATGTTCTCGCAGTGCCAGGCCATCAACGCCCGCTCCATCTTCCCCTGCCAGGACACTCCCGATGTCAAGTCCACCTTTACCTTTAAGCTCACCTCGAGCCTCCCTGTGGTTGCCTCTGGCGTCCCCGTCGGAGACCACACGGCCACGCCGGGCACCGAGAAGCTCTATCACTTTGAGCAAAAGGTCCCCATCCCGTCTTACCTCTTTGCCGTTGCCTCGGGAGATATCGTCTCCGCGCGCATTGGCTCGCAGAGCGTCGTCGTGACTGGTCCCGAGGAGGTGGAGGCGTGCAAGTGGGAGCTCGAGGAGAGCATGGATAAGTTCATGGACGTCGCCAACAAGCTCATCTTCCCGTACAAGTGGGGAGAGTACAACGTCCTGATTCTGCCCCCCAGCTTCCCGTACGGAGGTGAGTAATGCGAGTGCTACCGTTGAGCAGGCAGTGTGCTGATCCGCGGATAGGCATGGAGAACCCCATTTACACCTTTGCCACGCCGACCATCATCAGCGGCGATCGCCAGAACGTGGATGTCATCGCCCACGAGCTGAGCCACAGCTGGAGCGGCAACTTGGTCTCCAACGCCAGCTGGGAGCATTTGTGAGTTCGCAGGGCATTCCCCCAGCCAGTGTTGGGCTAACGTGGAGCAGCTGGCTCAACGAGGGCTGGACCGTGTATCTCGAGCGCCGCATCCAGGCCGCCATCCACGGAGAGCCCGAGTTTCACTTCTCCTCCATCATCGGCTGGAAGGGCCTCGGTACGCTCTGCTGCATCCGTTAGCCAGGCTTTATCACTGACATCTCGCAGAGGATGCCGTTGAGCTGTTTGGCAAGGACCACGAATACACCAAGCTCATCATCAGCCACAAGAACGTTGACCCCGAGGACGTCTACAGCCAGGTCGCGTACGAGAAGGGCTTCCACTTCCTGTACTACCTGGACCGCCTCGTCGGTCGGGAGAACTTTGACAGGTTCATTCCCCACTACTTCACCAAGTGGTCGGGCAAGTCGCTGGATTCCTTTGAGTTCCGCGAGACCTTTATGGACTTCTTCAATGGCCTCGGAGACGAGGAGCTCAAGAAGAAGGTTGCCACGATTGACTGGGAGGCCAGGCTGTACACTCCTGGTCTGCCCCCGAAGCCCGACTTCGACACGACCCTCGTCACCCTGTGCTACGACCTGGCCAAGAAGTGGGAGGATGCTGTGAGTTGACCCACGACGACAGACTACGCGTACCAATGTGCTAACAATAAACGCAGTCGTTCGAGCCCAGCGCCAAGGACGTCGAGTCCTTCTCCAGCAACCAGAAGCTCGTCTTCCTCGACCAGGTGGAGCAGCACGCGTCGCTGAGCGCCGAGCGCGCCCAGCTCATGGGCAAGGTGTACGACTTCATCTCGTCCAGGAACGCCGAGATCAAGACGTCGTACTACCTCGTGGCGCTCAAGGCCAACGACCCGACGTGCGTCTACGGGGCCGCCGAGCTTCTCGGCACCGTCGGCCGCATGAAGTACGTGCGACCGCTCTTCCGCGCCCTCAACAAGGTGGACCGGAAGCTCGCGCTGGAGACGTTTGCCAAGAACAGGGACTTCTACCACCCCATCTGCAGGGGCATGGTGCAAAAGGATCTGGGGATCCAGGAGTAGATGAAAAGGCCTTTAAAATACCCTCGGTAGTTTATACAGCTGAAGTTTGCCTACACGAGCCACGACGATCCCTCCATGACCTGCTTCCATGTCTTGCCCTCCGACCGCTCAAACTTCTGCACGGACTCGACGTCCTTTTTGCCAAAGTTGCCGTACAGGTGCGGGAAACTGTCCTCCCACTTGATGGGGTCCACAAATTTGGTGAGCTCAAACTTGATCAACCACAGGTCGGAGTGCGAGCTGAAGAACAAGTCCGCCGTGTTGGGAACCTGATGGGCGTGAGTTGCTTTTCGAGTTTTCATGCAATTGTCCGTCGGGGATTCATCATACCTGAGTGGCGGTGCTGAGGTGGATGAAGCCGTCCTTCTTGTCCAAGTCGGACAGTGGGTACGCCTTGGGGATGGGCTCGGGAGGCGCCGTTGGCACAATCTTGTACACGAATCTTGGCGACTCCATTTCGGCTATCGTGAGAATGAGCTGCGACGCGACTATGTTCTAGAGTCTGAGCTTGTGCGACTTGCCAAGCGGTCTCTCGTTTGCTGATGGGGCTTGGACTCCTTGTTCAGGGTAGGTTGTGTGCGGAGGCGCGAAATTATTACCGTGCAGCGGCGGGCGTGTCCTTGGCTGAGGGGTTCTCGTAATCGCGACTCCGACTTCACGTGAGGTCCGGCCCTCACCTTCCCAACCACAACATCAAAGTCGATTGGCTTTGATCGCCGCCCACATATACGATGCCACACCCGTAAACGAGCCTGCGCGTGGGCGTCTCATCCGCAGCAGCAGCAGCAATGTCGCGCGGGCCCGTCCCCTCGCAGCTGTGCCTCCTCTCCGCGCTCCCCGACCGGTCAGTCGGCGACAAGGTGCGCTTCCTCGGATGGTAGGTTTCGATCGATGAGAGCAGAGCTGCCGCCGGACGCCCGTTCTCATGCCACAGCCAGTCCCCCCCCATCCACCACCATCCCGCTGACTGCCTAATGCAGTGTCACCGCATATTCCACGGCGTCGGCGTCGCTCACGCTGGGCCATCTGTGCCCCGAGGGCACCAACGTCGCGGCGTGCGTGGACGTCCGGCTCGTCCTCGGGGCGCTCCAATCCGAGATGACACGTGTGGGGGAGTGGTTGAACGTCATCGGGTACGTGACGGCGAGGCGCGGGACGCCGGAGCCGGGACTGGACGCTGCGGTTGAGGTGCCCGAGGCGGCGCATGTCCAGGCGCTCGCCGTGTGGCCGACGGGGCCGCTGGATGTTCAGCGCTATGAGCAAACGTTTGGCGAGAAATCGACTCGTATCGCAGCGGACTGAGAGCCTCCTGGTTATGCCCAAGAAGCCTGGACAGGCACTATTGTCGACACGGCATAGCATGTCAGCAAGGTGCCAGTCATCACCCTTCCTGTGCATGCATCGCGCAAGCCGGGTGCAAGGCTGGCATGAGATGGCGACATGCAGTGACTGGGTCGCCCGGTGGCAAAACCTCTCACCGCTCAAATTCCGAAGCCGTCCACTTCCCTTGGAGCGTCAAGCCGCTCAAATCAGCGCGCTTCTGGACCATCCGGACGGTAATGGCAGACGATTGGAGGGCGGCCACATGGCATCATTCTATCGGGTCACGCATACTCGAAGGAACTATGTCCAAGCGGTGGTGCCGTCCACAGTGAACGAAACTCAGATGCGCTATGCCTGATTACTCACGCCATCTCGAGATGGCTTCTAGCATGATGGAACCCTCGACGCCTAGACTTTGACATGGCGGCCCAGAGACATGGCAGCCCAGCGGTGCCAGAAGACGGTGCTTAGTTGTGCGTTTCCCACGACAGATTTCTTGCGGAAACGAGGAAGAGCATCGGCTCCTGCGCGAGGCATCCCCGAGAAGTGTAGTCCAGCAACGACCGTCATCAACCCCCAACCCGCCAGCGGTCTGCGTGCTGCCGAGACTTCGGGCTTCTCCCTTTGACCTCACTCGAGCGAGACACCAGCACCGGCTGGTGTAACGGCCTCTTGAGCGCCTTTGACGGGTTTTCCAGGACCTTGGCGGCTGTCTGTTTGTCCCACAGCTCCTTTGACTTGCGACAAATGTCGTCAATCTGTTCCTGCAGTCGAGGCCAGTCAGTCACCAAAGCGGCAGCATCTAGGTGGCAAGTCCCGGCTCACATCGCTCAGGCAAGGGCCGGGCGTGGAGATGAGAAATCCATCCTCTCCCTGTGTGCGGTCAGATGAACAGCCTCTCTGTCGTTGACACGGAAAGAGAGCGCCACATACTTCGAAAGTGTATGGTCGGACCGTTGCGTGAGGGCCCAAATGGTATTGGAGCTCCTGCGTGATGATCCTCTTATGGATATCGAGATGAGGAATCCAGTATCGATTCATGGACGACGACATTTCTACCGCGACGAGCCCGGCCCAGTGTTGACGGCAGTGATGCTGTCCCCTCCGGGACAGGGCCGGAGAGGGCGACCGAGGCTGGCATTTATGGTGGCGCCCGACGGTGCAAGCGTGCTCCAGACGTCGAGTCCGAGCCCGCGCTTAAATGGTGGTTGTGTCGCCGGGAACGAGGGGAGCGGCCACATCGAATCCAATCACGGAGGCATGCGGGCTTGGCTCACCGCCGCCAGGGACGACGAGAATGGGCCATGGGCACCGCATCTGGTCATATGCAGTGTCGATATGCAGACAAGGTCCGTCTCCGCACGCGCGTAGTGTGTTCCAACGGGCTTTGTCGAGGAACCTAGAGTGTATGTGACCCCCAGCGAAAGTGAGGCGGACGCTGGCCACGAGGCTCGTGGACCATTGGTAGCATGCCTCGCGCCAAAGCACAGAAGCCAATCGTGCAGACGGTCGCGATAGAATGCTTCATGCCATCTCCTAGGAAACCGGGGAAATAGATCAGGTCAAGGCGATGCAGGCGGGCGAGGGGCCGGCGAGTGTGTGCCCTCGGCCCGGGGAACGATTGGGTTGAGATGGTTAGTCGACGACAGGAGCGCCTGCAAATGACGACGCATCAGCCCGGAAAGGCGGAGGCGACAGGCATGCCCTCTCGCAAATAGCGCACGTTCGACTGTCTGCTCGATCTGTCAGGCCTCTCTCTGGCTGCTGGGCGAGGGCGCCGGTCCAGGTTGGGCTCCAAGACCCAACGCATCTTCCCTGCTCGTGCAGCTGCCGTCTTGGGACGATGGCTCGCCGTACGAGAATGGCGAGCGCGTTAGGGCCGGGACTATGGATGCACGTATACTAAGTTAAGTATAAATATATATCTACGTGTATTATATATAGGTGGGATGGGGTATTTGCATGGAGCGGCGCCCCCGTGCTCCGGGGCGGGACCGCATCTTGGCCGTCGCGCGCGCGTTGCGAATGGCTGACTTTATAGCGCGTGAGAGGCTGCTCCATGTAAGTGGGCATGCGTGTCGGCATTTCGCGTTGGGATCCTGCGTCACGTGCCCGAGGGTGCCGCGAATGTATACATGGGCCGTGTAACTGGATTCCATGGAGCCGTGATGCACCTGCTTCGTGTTGGCGGGCTCACCGTGTGGGATCGGATCGAGGCAGGCACAGAAAGGACGGCGGATGACGGTCGCTGACGAGAGCGCCGCTGGTGGTATAGCCACCTCATGCGCACTTGGCACGGATCGTTGGTGGCAGTAAAAGACTGTTCACGCAAACTCCGTGAAGATACAACTATGTGACCCGGACCGACCCTTTGTGCAGAACCTGTGTGTGTAAATCCATCTTTCTCGTCCTCGTCTCAGCCAGCCGTCGTTGTTGCGTCTGCCATAGATGCAAGTGACACGGACCATGCGCGCCGTTTGATGTGCACGGATAATCTGCGGAGCCAGGCCCCTGCCAACCAATGTCGCCTGAAAGGTGAGCAGCATGGAAGCAATTGCGTGCCTGGATTGCACGTGAACGGGGCGTCTTCCAGGGCCCCCAGCTCCCTTCTGGACGCCGTCAGCCATCGGCCAGGCAGGAGGAGGTCCCCTGTGGCCCCCCCCGAGTTTGAACCCCCACCGCGCCCAGACCAACCAGCAGCCACTCCCGGACGTCGCCTGGCACAGCGACGGGAGGGACGTGCGGCGCATCCATCTCCCACCGTGAGCGTGAAAGCAACCCTTGAAGCCACACGTGCAGCTAGCTGTGCTGCGCTACCTTTCCCGCAGCGGTACGTACCGCCGTCCATAGGTACCTGCACCTGCCAGGGCGCTCTGCCTCAACCTTGGCTGCAGGACGCAGACTCAGGGATCGGCGCGACCGCGTCTGCCTCCGTCCAGTGCTACCACTAACTTACTAACTCACTCCAGCCGGCCGCCCCTCGAATTGACGTGTTGACTCCCTACACGACAATCCGCGACGGCCTCCCGCGCGTCTTATCCACGACTTCACGGCCTCTGTCCCCGCGACGCCCCCTTGCGAACCGCTCGCGCGAGAAACCCTCCTCCGATCCAGCACGTCACCGCGCTCGACCTCCTCAGCTGTCCGACCCCAGCCGGCCAGCTCAGCCCGCGGTGTCGTCATCCTCGTGTTCCCTCAACCCCAGCTCGCCGGCCCTGTCGCGCGCGCGCGCGTCCACGACAGCGTCCGACGATCCCGCTGCGGCCGCAACGACGGGGAGCATGATAGGGACCCCCTGACGCACGCCTGGAATACATGCGGCGTCCCCGCGCGACTCGACACTGACGCGCGCAGCTGGGCCACGCGCGAATAGGAGGCTACGCTCCGGCGCATTGCCCACACGGACGTCTGGCCTTCGAGGGGACCGACCCGGGTCCCCGCAACCGCTCCAGCAGCCATGGCGCCGGCCGGAGGCGGCAACATCAAGGTGGTGGTGAGGGTGCGGCCCTTCAATGGGAGAGGTAAGGAACGCTTCTCGGCCGCGGTGCGCTGCTCGACGTGGCATCCTTGCGACGCTGACACGCGCTGCAGAAATCGATCGCGGGTCGAAATGTATCGTCACGATGAAGGAGAACCAGACGGTCCTGACGCCCCCGGATGGACACGGCGGCAAGGGCGCCAAGGACCAGAGCAACAAGACCTTTGCCTTTGACAGGTCGTACTGGTCCTTCAACAAGGACGACTCTAGCTACGCCGGCCAGTCCAACCTCTTCGATGACCTCGGAAAGCCTTTGCTCGACAATGCCTTCCAGGGCTACAACAACTGCATCTTTGCCTACGGTCAGACCGGCTCCGGAAAGTCCTACTCCATGATGGGCTACGGCAAGGAGGTGGGAATCATCCCCAACATTTGCCAGGAAATGTTTCGGCGCATCGACGGCATCCAGCTCGACGACCCCACGACAAAGTGCACCGTCGAAGTGTCCTACCTCGAAATCTACAACGAGCGCGTCCGCGACCTGCTCAACCCGTCCACCAAGGGCAACCTCAAAGTCCGAGAGCACCCGTCTACGGGTCCTTACGTCGAGGACCTCGCCAAGCTAGTCGTTGGCAGCTTCCAGGAGATTGAGAACCTGATGGACGAGGGTAACAAGGCCAGGACGGTTGCCGCAACCAACATGAACGAGACGTCGAGTCGAAGTCACGCCGTCTTCACGCTCATGCTCACGCAAAAGAAGCACGACCTCGAGACCAAGATGGAGATGGAAAAGGTCGCCAAGATCAGTCTCGTCGATCTGGCTGGTTCTGAGAGAGCGACGTCGACGGGTGCGACGGGTGCCCGGTTGAAGGAGGGCGCCGAGATCAACCGATCCCTCTCCACGCTTGGCCGTGTCATCGCGGCCCTTGCCGATTTGTCGACGGGGAAGAAGAAGAAGGGCACCAGTCAAGTCCCGTACCGAGACAGCGTCCTAACATGGCTACTCAAGGACTCCCTAGGCGGCAACAGCATGACGGCCATGATAGCGGCCATCAGCCCGGCAGACATAAATTACGATGAGACGTTGAGCACGCTACGATATGCCGACTCCGCAAAGCGCATCAAGAACCACGCCGTCATCAACGAGGACGCCAACGCCCGCATGATCAGGGAGCTCAAGGAAGAGCTCGCCCTCCTCAGGAGCAAGCTCGGCGGCGGTGCGACTGTGCCAGGTGTTCCCGGCGCCCCACCGGACGAGGTTTACGACGACGGCACGCCCCTGGAGAAGCAGATGGTCAGCATCACGGGCCCCGACGGGACCGTCAAGAAGGTCTCCAAGGCCGACATTGCGGAACAGCTGAGCCAAAGCGAGAAGCTGCTCACCGATTTGAACCAGACCTGGGAGCAGAAACTGCAAAAGACCGAGGAGATCCACAAGGAACGCGAGGCGGCCCTGGAAGAGCTCGGTATCAGCATCGAAAAGGGCTTCATCGGCCTGCACACGCCCAAGAAGATGCCCCATCTTGTCAACTTGTCAGACGATCCTTTACTTGCCGAATGCCTGGTCTACAATCTTAAGCCCGGGACGACGACGGTGGGCAACGTCGACACTAACGCCGATCACCAAGCAAACATACGCCTCAACGGAACGAGGATTCTGCACGACCATTGCACCTTCGAGAATGCCGCAGACGGAACCGTGACCGTCATTCCCTCCGAGGGCGCTTCGGTGATGGTGAACGGGAAGCGGATCACGGAGCCTAAACAGCTGCACTCTGGCTACCGAGTCATCCTGGGCGACTTCCACATCTTCCGGTTCAACCACCCCATGGAGGCGAGGGCAGAGAGAGCAGAGGTCGGACAGAGTCTGTTGAGACAGTCAATAACGGCCAGCCAGCTTCTGGATCGGGTATCGTCGCCCAGCCCGGGGGCTCGGCCCGGCCACGAGCGTTCAGCCAGCAAGACGTCCGAGGCCGGCGACTCTCGTCCGGCGTCCCCAGCACCTTTCCTCCGCAATGGGAGGGAATCTGACTGGTCACTTGCCCGGAGAGAGGCAGCCGGTGCCATCCTTGGCACGGACCAGAATTTTGCCAGTCTCACGGACGAGGAACTGAATGCTCTGTTCGAAGACGTCCAGCGGGCGCGCGCCGAGCGAGTCAACGGTCGCGAGGACGGCGACGACTCGGAATCCGCCACGTCATACCAGCTTCGCGAAAAGTACATGTCGACGGGGACGATTGATAATTTTTCCCTGGACACGGTCCTCACAATGCCGTCGACACCGAAACAGGGCGAGGCTGAGGACAGGCTCAAAGAGGTGCGAGAGGAAATGCAGATCCAACTCGAGAAGCAAAAGGAAGAGTTCCAGGAGCAGCTCAAAGCGGCCGAGGCTGCCAACGTCGAAGTCGAGGAGATCCGCAACGAAAAGTTCAAGATGGAAACGGCCCTGAAAGAGCTCAAAGAGGACATGCAGAAGCAACTCGTCATTCAGCGCAAGCAGTTCGAGGAGAAGATGGAAAAGATGGATCCCCTCAAGCGGCCGAGGCCGAGCCCAAAGCTGTCAGAGGAGGAGATTGAGCGGGCCAAGGGCGTCGTCAAGGTGTGGCGGAGCCGACACTTTGTCAAGATGGCCGAGGCTGTTCTCCAAAATGCCTCGATCCTGAAGGAGGCGCAGATCATGAGCAACGAACTCAACGAGACGGTGGTGTTTCAGTTTGCCGTCGTGGATCTGGGGCATGCTTTGTGCTCCTCTTACGACATGGTTTTGAATGGCTTGACGGCCGAGGGCGACGACGTTGCGTTGGAGGAGGCACAGAAGCCATGTATTGGCGTTCGTGTCGTCGACTACAAGAACTCAGTGGTTCACCTCTGGAGCTTGGAGAAGCTTCACGATCGGGTTCGGCAGATGCGGCAGATGCACCAGTACCTCGACCAGCCCGAGTATGCGCAGCACCTCAGTCTTGACAACCCTTTTGTCGAGACTTGCATGCCGGCGTACACCCTGGTAGGCGAGGCAGACGTGCCGCTCATGGCGGTTTTTGAAAGCCGTGTTCAAGACTTTTCGCTTGACGTACTTTCGCCGTACACGTCGCACGCAATCGGCATCGTCAAGCTGTCTCTGGAGCCATCACACGCCCGCGCTCCTACAAACACTCTCAAGTTCAACGTTGTTATGCATGAGCTCGTCGGGTTCGCCGAGCGAGAAGGCACCGAGGTTCATGCCCAACTCTTCATACCTGGCATCTCGGAAGAAGACGGCGTAACCACCACACAAATGATCCAGGACTTTGACGAAGGGCCGATCCGATTCGAGAGCGTCCACAACATGAGCGTCCCGCTATTTGCGCCCCAAGACGTCACCTTGCGAGTGGCCATCTTTGCTCACGTCTCTGCGATGCATCTGGATAAGCTCCTGAGTTGGGATGATATCAGGGACGCGAGCCCCACGGGCGAAAACGCCAGGGGCACACGGATCAATGAGTCGCAGTTCTTCACCCAGGAGAAGCACGACCTCCTTTCCCGCGTGCAGATCATGGAGCTCAACGAGATGGGCGAGTACCAGCCAGTCGAGGTCACGCAGACGAGCGAACTTGACACGGGGACATTTCAGCTCCACCAGGGCCTACAGCGGCGCATCGGCATCAACCTCTCGCACAGCTCCGGCGAGGCACTGCCGTGGGGAGACGTGACGGCGGTGCGAGTCGGCAAGATTCGACTAGTCGACTCGGCAGGCAAGACTCCCGATATGGGCGCCAACGACCCCGACGTTGCGCTCAAGATGTCTTCGAATCCCATCTTCCGGGAGAATCCCAACGGCACGAGGAGCATCACTATCTACTCCCAGTGGGACTCTAGCTTGCACAACTCGCTGCTTCTTGACCGGGTGACGGCGGATAAGTACCGCGTGCAAATGACAATCCACTGGGAGATAAGCTCCGACAAGCTGGCAGAGCCGATGAAGTTTGCGCAAAAGGTCTGCGTTCAGATCCTCTCGAGGAACTTTGTGCGGCAGACGTCCATGTTCTCGTCGCTCTTCCAAAACATCCGGTTCGTCAGGTCGTCGACGGGCATCTTCACCCTGACCATGAGGCCCGCGCCGATTAAACGCGTCGGCGACCTGTGGCGCATGAGCAGCCAGCACGACTACGTCAAGGGCGAGGAGAACCTGACGAGCTGGACGCCGCGGGGCGTTTCCATTGTCAGTGACTTTATCCTGGCCAAGAAGAAGCGGAGACGCATCGCCGAGATTGGTGTCATGCAGACGACGCTGGGCAAGATGGGCATCGAGCCCACCGTTGTCCGGCCAGAGAAGGAGACCGAAGGGGCGGAAGAGGAGCCGGCGCCTGAGGTGAAGCCCATCGTTCCGGACGACGACGACGATCTCCTGAACGACACGCCGGACACGTCCCAGGCCCCGTCTGGTGACGAAGAAGGCGACGGCGTGGAGCCCCAGGAGGAAGACACCATCAAGGTAGACGGCGACGGCACCGCGACCCCCAAGGAGAAGCCCGAGTACAGCGAGCACGAGGCCGAGCTCCTGGGACGGTGCGTCAAGCTGTGGGCCAAGTACCCGGACCCCCTGCTGAGCATCCTGAGCCCGGCGAACACGGCCCCGCCCGCCAACGGCATCGCGCCCGAGTCGGCCCTCCCGCCGAGCCTCATCGCCACCATCATCCGCGTGCCCAAGAACCCCAAGGTGCTCAAGGGCGGGTACCTGCTCGTGCCCAACAGCGACTCGACGCGCTGGGTCAAGCGCTTCGTCGAGCTCCGCCGGCCGTACCTGCACATCCACTCGGCCACCGACGGCGACGAGGTGGCGCTCGTGAGCCTGCGCAACTCGCGCGTCGACAGCCAGCCCGGCGTGCTGGGCATGCTCCACGGGCCGGCCGACGAGTACGACCACCCGTCGCAGCACCACGGACAACAGCAGGGCCGCAACGGGGCGGGCACGACAACAACAGCAGCGCCCGACTTTACGCCGGGACACCGCCGCACGTCCTCGGGCCGGGTCATCTCGACCATCTGGACGGGCACCGGCAGCGGCTCCAGCGGCCAGCAGCCCAACAACAACCACCGGCCCGGCCTGCAGCGCCTCAGCGAGCGGATGCAGTCCGCCGTGTTCGCCATCTACGGGACGGACAACACGTGGCTCTTCGCCGCCCGCAGCGAGCGCGACAAGATGGACTGGATCTTCCGCATCGACCAGACGTACCTGTCCTCCAACAGCGAGAGCAACCCCGGCAGCGGCATCATGAGCCCCAGCCCGCAGCAGGGCGGCGCTGGCGGCGCCGGCGGGAGCCAGTACTACTGAGCAAGGCGGCAGCAGCTCGGCACGGCACGAGCACGAGCACGAGCACGAAACACGAGCCTTAGCACGAGCACGAGCGGGGAGTTGAGGCGCGAGCGAGCGTGAGGGAAGATGGGCAGGCCGGGACGTTGCGTTGCGTTGGCGCACATTCCGCTGAGACGACGACGACGGACGAGACGACGACGACCGGATAAAAACAGCCACGACATGAACGTCTACGTACGCTTTCTTGTGCCTTGGATTTTATGTTCTCTTGTTTGTTTTCTTTTGGCCTTGCGTTCCCCCCCAGGTGACGAACCGCCGTGTCACCCATCATCCGAGCACACGCCGCCCTCGCACAAAACCCACCACCACCACCACCACTGTTCTCTCTCTCCTTTGTTTTGTACCCTGATTTTACTTCTCGCGGTTCCTTTCGCCCCTGAACCCCCCCCGTCGGGCCTTTTTGCCCTTGGCTATGTCACACACAAAACTGGACATGGACTCGGGCGGCGGCGGCGGCGGCGGAGGCACCTCTGATTTTTTTTCTCCTTCTTTTATTAGACGAGACGACTTAGATTATACCCCCTTTGGAAAAAAGGACATGGGACGAACGGCAAAGGGGGAAAGATGGGCCCCGGGGGAGGAACGGTGGAGGAGGAGAGGAAATCTGCTGTTCGAAATAGTACAAAGACGAAACGGAGCGGCGAATATCGGCCGTCTGCTGCGTGGCGATGATGACATTGGATATCCGTTGCAAGGAAACGGATCTGTATGCTCCCGAGTTGGGCAGGATACCCAAGTTCTGTAATTACACTATGTATGCGTCCTGCGCGTCGCGGGAGTCCTTCTTGCAGCCCCCATCCCAAGTGACTGAGTCGACACCCGTTCTCTTGTCCCGTGGTGGCCCAATGCCATGTCTGCCGCAGTGCAGCGCAGTGCACGCATGCAAGTGAGGAGAGGCACTATTCTGGGGCCCCGAGCCGGCAATGGGGATGTGCTACGTACTCGTACGAGCACCATTCCCGTGGCCTCTGCCCGACCAGCTGGAAAGCGATGCAGGCAGCTCGACAGGGCCGTCGGCGATCAAGGCGTCGCGCAGCAAGCGGGGCACGGCACAGGTGCTACGCACGTCCGTACTGACGATGCACGTCGACGCGAGGGCAATATTGGGCGGGCGCCCTATAATGATCCCTGTCTAGAACAATCTTGCTGACGGATGGCCCGGCGAGTCGGTCCGACGGGAGCCGCTTCCGCGTCGGAGACAGTTCAGGGCGGCAGAAGCAAAGACCTGGCGGACTTGCGGCTGATGGCCGCGTGGGAGCCTCCGCGGTCGCATCGCGGATCAGAAGAGCAAGGGCGTCGTTCCAGAAAGCATCCCGTCCGCCTCTGTGTGGGTGGTGTGTCATCGTCCCGGATGCCCTGGTTTGCCTGGTCTGGTCCTGGGTCCCCTGTCACCTTCAAGCCAAAGCTATGCACGCACGGAGATGGCAGGATACGTCGTTGCCACACCTCCAAGATTGCCTCCAGCAAGGGCCGCCACAGTCTGGGGTCGAGGCCTGGTATTGACGAGCATGCATCTGAGCAAAGCCGTGCAGTATTGTACGACGAGAGCTGCCAATTTGGCATGTCAAAGGACCGACCTGCCAACAGGTCGACTATCGACTGGCCAGCTATACGTTGACGGCGATATCGACCCTTAGGGCCGAACATTCCGCAGACACAAAGGGCTGCTGCGGGCGGTTTGACACGCGCCACTCTGACCCGCGCCGCCGTCCTTAGTAGCTCGTGGTCCGGCCTTTGGTTCGTTTGCGTGAGCCGTCGTTCGAGTTCTCCATAGGTAAGAACTGGATCCAACGGGTGCAGGCCCGGCGCGGCTAGTGGGCATATGCATAAGTTCATGGCTCGTGCCGCACTGGGCTTCCTGCGGCACCGGCGCTCCCCCCCTCGACGCCGGGCTGCGTATGCTTTTGACATGTAACATGCCCTCACAATTGATGACCCCTTTTCGATGGTGTGCTGTCGGAAAGAACGGAGAGAGGCGCTCGGCACTTGGCTGGGGGACTGGGTCGCGTTGTTTGCTCTCGTGAGGAAGCCTTTGCCGGCAGACGCGTCTGCGGAGGCTTCTCTTCGCCCACCACTGCAATGCGTGTCGTCGCTGGGGCCCAAGAACGGAGCCGCCGGGTCGCTTAGCCAGCTTGCAGAGCACAGGGTACATGTGATGCGTTCATGGGCGGTACATCGGTTCCCCGACGCTCTTGTCGCGTCGGTTGGATGCAAAGGAGGAACCCGCGGGACGGTTCAGATCGACTGGGACCTTGTCACGCCTTCGTCTGGCCATTCCCGCGGACAGTTCCACTTCAGCTGCGTGGCCTTGCGTCCGCAATGCTGTTGTTACCCCTTTCTTCACGAACTCAGCACAAGCTCATCTTACCGCAGCGCCGGACAGAACTTGCCGAGAAACAATTGCTCTGCCGCCGTGCCCAGTCCGCTTTATCCAGTGTTAGGACCTCGCCGTCGGCCAGGGACCCCTTCCGTCCCAGCGCAGCGGGTCGCAGGGGTGTGACCCTGGCACCTGGGAGAGACGGGAACCCACTGGGATCCGCGCTGCCAGCGAATGGCGATGATGGGTTGTTACCGAACTGTCGGGACGGCCAGAGCTTCATGAACGGCGGGACAGGCCCGGCTCCCCATTGTGCGGGATTTGAAATACGTCTCGGGTGTTGTGGGACGCTGCGCCTACACCATGCTGTAGACAAGCGCCCGCAAATATGACGAGTCAACCGCCCGAGGGCAAGTTGATGAGGCAGTAGCTGCTCACTTCAGCGCGAAACCCTTTCATATTTCCAAGGCCTGTCGCGGGAAGCCACTCGCTTGATGATTGCGTCACGAAATGCTGCCTCCGTAGCGGTGAGATCTCTTAGGGGCGGTGGCCTTGGGGGCAGGAGTGTCGACAGGCCATCCCTGGCTTCCTTGGAAGCGACGGGCGGACAATCCAAGCTGGTCAGCACTTGCACCTGCTTGCAGCATCGTCATGCCTGTCAGTCGGGAGTCCAGTGCCGTCGGTGCACGACATGTCCGGAGTGAGGGGCCAATGTGGATGCTCCCAGGCGGGACGTCATCCGGATCCTTGAGACATGCGGCGAGGCAGGTCTCACGGCGGAGCTCGAGCTGGGTAGTCGGTGCCTCCCCCAGGGGCCATTGCGTGAACTGGTTGGCTTCCTGAGTCTGTGTTGAGCCAACGACGCGAGTGATCCGATCCTACCAACCTGGGTCTGCAGCGGCGGCCTGGGGCCAACACACCATCCCCTCCAACTCGTGCGTCGTGCGGCTGCCACGCGCAGACAAAGCGGACTCGGGCAGCAAAAAAGGAATGCATGCAGCGAACCAGCCTAGTGGGTAGGGACGCATCGTGACTCGTTGACGAACATGTGGACGGATACTGCGTCCAGGATCAGGCTTATCTCGGGCCAAAGACACAAAGTCCGGCAATGCTGACGGCAACACGCCGTCGGCTGCTTTGTTTCCCTTGTCGAGGGATCCCTGCGTGCTCCCATGAAGCGGGTGTGCCTGGGACATTACCCGTATACGAGTAGACAGCTCGTCGAGCGCGAGCTCTCCGCTCAGACACCGACGACTTGGTGACAGGGTGACAAGGTGACACAGGGAGAGGGCGGGCCGTCGCGCAAGTTGCGCTGGACCCAGACAGTCGGGATTCCCACAGGTTTGGGTCGCGGGCCCCTGCTTGGTCTTGATGGTCTTGGATGTCGGTTGGTGGCGGCCCCGTCGCCCGTCCAAGACCCCAAATCGCCCAGAGCACCGTCCTTTGCGACGCTCCTGGCCGGCCGCCCCGCTCCTGGCCGACGCCTCGCCTCAACGAGATTAGTCGAACCAGCTTCCCGGGACCAGCTGGAGGCCAAGGCGACGCCGCGGACGGGCCAGGAGCACGGCGGGGGACACTAAATCGGGTTGCTCAAACTGGACAAGAATAAATGTCCTCGCAATGAGTAAACAGGAGCTCGAAGGCGAGGGCCAAGGCAGACGCAACCCGCGCGCCCGTCACGCCACCGAAACCCTGCTCTTGACTGCAGTCGCGCGGTGCAATCGTTTGCTGGAGCTTCCTGCGTCTCTGCTCTGCGCCTTGCCGTTGGGGGCTGCGTGTGAGCTGTCGTGAACCCAAGGTCGCCGGGGTGGAGTGAGTGGGTGTCGTGGCCCGTCTGCTGGGTTTGGTGTGGATGCTTTTGCACGACCACGGGAACCAGGGCGCCGCGGTGTCGGGCATGTGTCCGGAGCTCGCACACCTCCCTGTGCCGTGCTCTGTGGTGTTGGTCACGTCTGTGTCCCGGCCCAGCGGGCTGGCACGATTTGACAAGTCCAGGAGCCGACGATTTGGAAGTTTCGGGACCCGTCCGTGCAGTGGTCCTTCTCGCCATCGTTCCACGACGCCGGGCCTTCACCTTGAGCGTACCGAAGCGACGACTGGCTGTGAACTTCATTTGCCGACGCCCTCTCTTTCCCCGATTCTCTTCCCCCTTTCTAATTGCCAGCAAACTCCCGCTTTCCGTGCACGAATTGTGTGGTTGTGGGATACAGCGTGCCTCGCTTTCTCTCGACTCGGGCGTCATTGTCCCGGAAGACGGCCGTTGACCCTGGACATCAGCCGCCGACATTGATTCTCAGCCATCGGGACTCGAATCATTCTGTGCTACGGCACCAAAATCAGTTCTACCGCCTTTTATCAGTGTGTGTGGACGGGCGATAGGCACACTTGAACTCCTTACCTCCCCCAGAACCATTGGCGATGGCCAGCGTGCCTGAATCCGGTGACGGCGGAGGCGGCGGGCATGGCGAATCGGGTCTCCATGGCTATCAATTTACGTTCCAAGCTCCGGAACAGGGCGATGGCGTTCACCTTGATGTGAGTACCTCCGCGCCTTGTACGCTCTGGGACAGTCTTGACTGACCGCGTGACCTCGGGCGACAGCCGCGGACAGGACAGAGGTAAGGCGCAACAACAGCGCGTCGTCTGTGGAAATGGTTCTGACAGAGTTGAAGACGGGAACTGTCCGAATCCTTATCCGAGAGCGTGCAGAATTTTCCAGTTGAGTTTGGTCGCACGTACCATGCGTACAGGGCAGGGTGTGAGTTGCTCCTTCCCCCTGGATCACCACCGTTTTTCCCAGCGTCGGGTGCTGACTGATGCGATTCATGTGCCTGTCTCTGCAGCATACGCTTTTCCCAATGATGCTCCTGAACAGGAGCGGTTGACTCTACAAGCCGAGACTCTCAGGAAACTCTTCGATAACCGGCTTTTCTTTGCGCCACTGTCGGAGAAGACGCCGCCGCGGACCGTCCTCGACGTGGCCACGGGCGTTGGCGACTGGGCGATCCAGATGGGCGACTACTTTCCTGACTCGGAGATTATCGGCACCGATCTCTCCCCAATTCAACCGGAGCATGTGCCTCCAAACGTCAATTTCTATGTCGAAGACTCGTAAGTCAAAGTCGGATCATTTCATCTGGAGGCCGTGCCATCTGACGAGCGTCTCTGTGCAAGATCGGATCCATGGGAGTATTCCAAAAAGTTCGACTACATCCACACGCGCGTCACAGCAGGCTGTTGGTCCTCGTTCGAGAGTGAGATTGCCCAGCAGGCCTTTGATTGTCTAGAGCCAGGTGGCTGGTTCGAGTCGCAGGAAGTCGACAGCACAGTTGCGTGCGATGACGGAACGCTGGGTCCGGATTCAGCACTGGTGCAGTGGTTCGAAGAGATAACAGCCGCGGGAGAGACGTTGAACCGTCCGAGTGTGGTTGGCGCTTTGCTCAGGGAGTGTTACGAGCGCGTGGGCTTTGTGGATGTCCAACAGCGCATCTTCAAGCTACCAGTCAACGGCTGGGCCAAGGACGAGAGCCTTAAAGAGTTGGGGCAGATGTGGGAGAAGAATCTCCTTACTGGCCTGAGCGGGTTTTCGTATCGGCTCTTCAACAGCGTATACGGAAGAAGTCCCGCGGAGATCGAGGTACGCAACTCGCCGCCCTTGTTTGATTCTTTCCGCATGAGCCGTCCTAGCGGCAGGCCACACACTCGAGTCGAATGCTTACTAAATCCTTCAAGGTCTCGCTGGTCGACGTTCGACAAGATATTTCGAATCCAAAGATACACGCCTTCATGCCCGTCTACGTCGTCTGGGGACGAAAGCCCTATCCCGGCGAAGGCCCGGTTCCCACATCGAAATTTCAATAACATTACGGGCAGCTCTCGAAGCTGCGGGCTTGGAGGTATACTGTATCAGCCCCCACCACCATGAAAGAACGGTGGATGTCGGCACTCTATCTGGGAGGGACTCAAGCGAGCGATGCATGAAGAGCCGGAGCTCTTTTTTGCCCAATTACAGCGAAATATCGGATGGCTTAGGACATCCTACGCATATAGCGGTCAACTCATGAAGTGGCTTAGACGTCATAAAATGCTATCACGAGGCAGGGACAGGTGCTGCCCTCCCTGATATGACAGGGCCTTGATCCAAACGAGCGCCGTCTCTCACGACTGTGCGCCCGAGAGTGACGTTTGGTCTTGATCAATGCTTCACCAGCCAGCCGAGTTCCTTTACGCGATCCTCGGGAAGTATCTGCTCAAACTTCTCCTGAGACAGAAACTCGTGATCCGCATATTCGAAGCCCGGTACAACAGTTTCGGTGATGAGCAACCCCTCCCCGTCGCTGTCCTGTCCGCGACCTTGACCATCTCGGTCCACCAAGTGGCTCGCCTTCCAGACGCCGCCCTCGACGATCCACTGCAGCCTCTCACCCTTCTCGACGTCTGGGCCGACGACAAAGGTCTCGACGCGGCCGTCGGGGTGGATGAGGACGTAGCGGCCCCTGCCCCGGTGCCACGTGTGAATGATGCGGCTCCGGTTGCGGTGAAAGGACCCCGTGGGGCGGTTGGGGGTGAGATAGTAAAAGATGGTCGTCGAGAGACGGCGGAGGGCAGGATCGTAGTCCGCCGGAAGACCTCCTGCGAGGGCGACGGTGCGTTGAGAGAGGGGCTCGGCCGGATAGGGGCTGGGCATCTTCATCTCAGAGACGTCGGTGACGGCGAAGTAGCCGCCCTCCATGTGGGGGATCAGAGAGAGGGCCTTGATGGTGGCTTGAACTTGGGGATTCTCGCCTGCGGCATCCTGCGCGGGGGTGGAACCCGCAGCGTCTTGGTTGCTCATGGCTGGGTGATGTGCTCGGTATAAAGGTGTGAAGCAATAGAGATGCCGCTGTGAACGATGCTGTGCGGCGCACGTTGGTCGGCGTAGATGCTGTGTGAGGGTTGCGGCAGTGGTCATGCAGATGGAGATGATGCCTGACGGGGAGTATATGAATGCCCGTCGAGGAAAACGGCGGTCAGCCGAGTGTTTCCGTCAAGCAGCTAGCGCTGTCAAAACGGCCGGGATGGCAGGGCGATATCAGACAGAAACGCAGGCGCCGCCGCCGCGGACGGGCAGGCCCCTTACGTGAGCTTTGCTCCAAGGGGAAGTGGCCGGCACGATGGCGTAAGCTGCCCGCCCGGAGCCATCGGGATATGGCATATGCCGAGCGCTGGACCAGCCATGGCTTCGGCAGTCCTGTCGGGCGGCGGAATGTGAGGATTCGACGTAGCAAAAAAGGGGAGCAATACTGTGAACCCGAGCGTCATTTTATCGTGAGTGTGTGTTGCTGCAAAAGAGGGCATGATATCGGGACTTTGTGTGACTGTGGCTTGTTGATCAGTGCTCTCCACGCCATGTTGTGCAACTACAGGCTTACAGGCTTACAGGCTGCAGCGCCCTGTTGGTCGGCTCGCATCAACCTGGAATGTTTGGTGGAAACGCTGAGCCAAGACGGCGGCGACCCGGGTATCTGGGTTCACGCCGTGTTAATATCCTGCGGGCGCTGCAGCCGAATGAGGTACGTCGAGGCGAGCACCCGTGATATCCTCGCCAAGCAGCGGCACGGGTTGACCGTTGAGGCTCAAACGCATCTGCGCGGCAGTTGGGGATCTGCCTCTGCCCCTGTGCCGCTACGACGGGAGTTGTTGGTGGGTGCCACTGGGTGGACGGGCGAGCTATGACGCCGCTGGAACCCAGGCCCGCGCGTGCGTCAGGGCCTGGCCAGCCTGAGGTGGGATGCGGAACCTCCAGCTCCTGCGGGCCGTGTCGCCGATCGGCCCTCATCTCCCCTCCTCTTCCATCGACCGTCGATACCGTGGCCCCGACGCACCGCCGCACATCACCCATCGCCCTTTGCGATTGTCGCCTCAATTGCAGAGTCGCAGACTGCGGCCCGCTCGGGGCCCTCGCTCAATCCGCCATGTTGGCGTCGCGCGTGTGCCGGCCCAGCTGCGGCTCCCTCCTCGCCGCCGCCCGCCCTCTTCCCCGATGCACGACAACCGCCATTCTCTCGTCCCGACCTCGCGCAGTCCTCGTCCTTTCTACACGACCGTTCTCCGACACGCCCCGCCGGCGAGACTCGCAAGATCCCCATGAGCGCCTCCGGACAGCCCGGCCGCTCGTCCCGCACGCGCTGTCGCGGCGCTTCACGCAAGCTGGCCGGACGCGCAACTCGAAGGCTTTTGCGGCGGCGTGCGTCGTCGCGGCTGTGGCATTTTACCTCTACAACTCGCAGACGGTGCCCGTGACGGGCCGCCGGCGCTTCAACTTCCTTTCGGACAAGCTGGTGGCCAAGGCGCACGAGCGGGCGGCCGAGGCGGTCATTCGGCAGGTGCAGGACCAGGGCGGCCACTTTCTGTCGGACTGGGACCCGCGGGCGATGCTGGTGAGGCGGGTGATGAAGCGGCTGATTCCTGTCAGCGGGATGACGGACCTGGACTGGGAGATTCACGTCATTTCGGACAACCGTGCGTTGCTCGCCATGTTGACATTGCCGTTGGGTTAGGTTGCTGACGAGGGTGTCCTATAGGAACGGCCAATGCCTTTGTCCTGCCGGGGGGCAAGGTGTTTGTGCACAGCGGGATCCTCAACGTGTGCCGCAACGAGGACGCGCTGGCGGCGGTGCTCGGGCACGAGATTGCGCACAACACGGCATCGCACGCGGCGGAGCGGCTCTCGGCGGCGTGGGTGGGCAACCTGACGGCGGGGAGCCTCTTCTTCCTGGCCGGGGCGCTGCCGGGGCTGGCGCTCTTCAGCCTGTGGAGCTTCGTGGGCGGCTTCTACCTGCAGGACCTGCTCTTCTACCTGCCCATGGGGCGCAAGCAGGAGAGCGAGGCCGACTACATCGGGCTCATGATGATGGCCGAGGCGTGCTACGACCCGCGCGCGGCGGTGGGCTTCTGGCAGCGCATGGAGGCGATTCAGCGGTCGGGCGGGCAGGAGGTGCCCGAGATGCTGAGCACGCACCCGTCGGTGAGTGGACATGCATGACGTGACGAAGCCTGTCGAACGCGACGGCATACCGACGCTGTGATGGAGGCTGACTGCTGCAACAGAACGAACACAGAATCGCCAAGATCCACGAGTGGCTGCCCGAGGCGATGAAGAAGCGCGGCGAGAGCGACTGCCGGGGCACGGCGGCGTTTGCGGACCGGTTCAGGCAGGCACTGCGACGGGGGAAGCCGGTGGACGCAGTGGTTGTGCAGCTGTGACGATGATGACGGCGGAGCGACGACTATTAAGAATGCGCCGAGGGGAGTTGTAGATGCGGTGCAGACACGTACATAGACATGTTGTACAGACCACAGGCAGGGCTGCACAGTACGGCACGGCTGGAGTTGGAAATCCTCGCATCACTCAAACATTGTTAAACTGACTTGATCCGGACACTGTACTTCGGCCTTTCTGTGATGATGTGATGACAAAACGAGCACTTCATTGTCCGAGGCACACGGCACACGTGCGCCGGCAGCCCTCGTCCCGTCTCTCTCCCTCTTCGCCAACTCCCGGGTTGGCAATTGCGGCGCTCCCATAGGCCAGCGCGGCCCCATGACGTCTCCAGCCCAGCCCTGGCCTGGCCGGCTCGACGACTTGGCCCGCGACCCCGGATTTGGCGCTGCAAAAGAGGCCGCTGAAGGGGGGGACCCGACCCGCTGGTGGGGGAAAGGCGGTGGCGGCCGTGGGCGCTGGGGCGCTGGGCGGCCCCAACGCCGAGCCGAGGCACGTCTCGAACAGGCTGGCGGGAAGAGAGAGAAGCGGAAGCGACTCGGGAACAGCGCCCTTTTGAGCGTTACCGACGGGACGGGGACTGACTGCTCATCGTCTTTTCCCGCCTCTTCCACTTTACATTACAATCCCTCCTCCCACACGTCTCATTGCATTTGCATTGCAGAGCCTCCTCACGCAGCGCATTTTTTCCCTCCTCCTTCTTCCGCATTTCTCTGCATACAACAACAAGTGCCCGCCATGGCCGACAAGAAGATCACCGCCGCCGAGGTCGGCCAGCACAAGGACGACTCCAACGGCTACTGGCTGATTGTCGAGAACAAGGTCTACGATGTGACGAGTGCGTCTTTCCCCCCTTGCCGTCCCCCTCTGCGTCCTGTTTCCTTGTCGAATTTGCATTGCCCTCATGGACGAGTGCGCCGCCGCCGTCGCCGTCGCCGATGCGCAGCGCAACGCTGACGGCAACGGCTCCCGGCGGGTCGCGCGCGACGCATGTGATCGACTCCCGCGACCACGAGCCGCAGCGACCACGACCACACGCGCGCACTGCCCAGAACCACGCGCTTTTCTTGAGAGTCGAGCAAAAATAGCAAAAAGAAACAAACCGCTGACATGAGTTGTGTTTTTTTTTTCTTCCTGCAGAGTTCCTCGACGAGCACCCCGGCGGCGCCAAGATCCTCAAGCGGTTCGCCGGCAAGAACGCCACCAAGGCCTTCTGGAAGTACCACAGCGAGAACGTGCTGAAGCGACACGGCCCCAAGTACGAGATTGGCGAGGTGGCCGAGGCGGCTAAGCTGTAAAGCGGGCTTGCTTGCTTTGCTTGCGCGCCGTGCTGCTGTCTCAATATCTGCCGATTCTGTGAGGAGCGATGCGTGAGGTATCGCCGAGGTCTGCGCGCCCACTCGTCGATCGAAATTCGGAGGGGGCGCGGAGGGAGACACGATGACGATAGGGAGGGAGGTTGTGTGGAGGCTACGATAGACGGTGGTGGTGGTAGACGAGCGCTGGGCTATACACGGGCTGTCGCTGGCGGACGGCTTCCGGGCGACATGTATTGATACCGCGTTGGATGGTTGTTCTGCGATGTATACGCACATTTATATACACAAAGTCCGACATTGCCGAAGCGCGACTTGTGTGTCTGTCTGCCCCGTGCAGCCAGCTTATGCATGGCCACATGGTCATCGCTCTTCTGACTTGAAGGAGGCGGCCATGTTATGCACACTGCGAATAGATTTGAGAGGTGCTTCATTACGTCGTGTTTTTTATGTACAAAACCTGTAGGTTATTGCAGTGCTTCAGGCCGATCATGTCTATACCGTCTTCCATCTAGGTATGGGTATGAGGTTCAATGTCGCTTCTCCTCGCGCGCTTCAACTCGGCAACGCTTCCCTGCCCGAAAATTACCTACCCCTTATTACAGAAACACTCAATCTATTTGCCCACGGTCGTCCCATTGTTCGAATTAGTATAAAACGTGACCGCGTCGGTCGAGTTCTTGTACGTGTTGCCGCATATCTCCGAGTAGCCCCCAAAGAGGCCCTCGCGCTGACGGAGAAACTTTTGCAAGCCGTCGGCCGAGCAGCTCTGGCCGGGCCCGTCGAAGCAGCCCGGCAGGACCTGGGGGCTGCGGTTCACTAGGACGCGGTAGTGCGTCGACGCAGAAGCAGAGCCTGACGATGACGACGAGTTGCTGTTGTTGCTCCCAGCGGAGGAGGAGGCGCCAGGCGCGGTGCAGTTCATGCGCTCAATGGCAATGTTGGCGAGGAACGGCAGGATGCGGCTCGACACCCACGCGCGCCCGTGGTTGACCTGGTCCAGGGGCATCGTGGCGTTGACGTCGTCGGCGCCCGAGAAGCGGCTGTTGTTGAAGAGGCCCATGGCGACGAGCACGGCGGGCGGCATCTCGCGGTGCGTAAACGACACGTACATGTCCTGCGCGGCGCTGCCCCCCGCCAGCAGGCCCAGCGTGGCGTTGAGCCAGGGGAAGCCGATGGCGCCCGCGACGCGGCTCCCGTAGCCCGCGTTGTAGTGGTACTGGATGTCCTGGCCGTACTCGTACTGCAGCCACTCGTCCGGGGTGAAGAGGTCCGTGGAGCAGAAGGGCGAGGACCCGCGGATGACGGTCTCGTAGCCGCACAGCGCCTGCATGGCCATGACGTCGGCCGTCGTGAAGTTGAAGCCGCCGCCGCCTTGCGAAGACACGGCGTCGTTGAGGCGCGCCACGATGGGCGCCGTGTACGCCTTTACGTACTCGCCCTGCTGGTCCGAGCCCGTGTCCGACGCGTACCCCTTGCAGCTCTTGTACGGCGTGAGGCTATCCGCGCCGGCCTGCTTCCCCTCGTGCACCTCCACCACGTTGATGGTGTCGTCGTCGAGCTCCAGCCCGCGGACGAGCCCCTTGGCGCTCTGCACGGTGCGCTCCGCCGTCGACGTCCACACGCGCTTCGGCAGCCGCAGCTTCGGGTAGCGGTACGACAGCGAGAGGCCCAGCTGCGCGGCCTCGACCTTGCCGGTGCGCGTGAGCAGCTCCTGCTCGGCGAACGAGGGGGGCGCCCACGCGGCGAGAAAGGCCAGCTCCGGGACGGTCCTCGCCCAATCCGTCTTGGTCGCGTTGCCGAGCTTCTCCAGGAACGGCTCCAGGTACTCCTCGTAGTCAAAGTCGTTTGCGTTGATGGCCGCGTGTCGTACCAGGTATGCCGCCCGCGTGACGGAGCAGCCCCGCGGCGGGTCCGGCTGCCGGCCCGGGTTGTCGACGGGCTCGAAGTAGGGTGAGTTGCCGGCGAGGTGCTCGAGCGCGTTGAACGAGTAGGAGGAGTAGAGGGGCGTGTTTTGGAACTGCAGCGCCGAGGCTGCGGCTGCGAAGGCCGAGACGCCACTGGTGATGGCGGCGCTGGACCTCATTGTGCTGAGTGGGTGGTGGTGGTCGCGACGGCGACTCTAGACGTGTGATTCCGGGAGCCTCCTCGTCGATGCTTTGCCTCGCACAATGTCCCAAGATCCCAACCGCCAATTGTTGTTTATATACATCGCACAAGGCAGCGAAGCGGGCGGCTCACCGGCACGACGTTGCCCAAGTGTGTGATCCATCGCGGCTCATCTACGTCATGGCCGTCTTGGGCATCGCCGAAAACAAAGGCGCGGGAGAAATAGCGACTAGGTAGCATCGACGATCTGGCTAGCTAAATTCCCGAGAGACAAAAAGCAACCTCGAAAGTTGGAAGTTGGAAAGGTTCGGTTTGGCGCCCCGCCAGCCGGCCCAGTCGGTGGACCTGGCCAGGATGGGATGCGAGGTCAACAAGGCAGGCAGGTCAACCGGGTTTCCGTCTCGGTCAATGCGCTGGCGTTTGTCATGGACATCATCGCTCGGCGCTGACAACAATGAGATTTCCTTGATGCTTGCTGCGTACTGTATGTGACGGTCAGTCTCACAAGTGACGATGCGGGTCTTCATGACCAGAGTCAACAGTCTCACCTTGGAGACCCGCTCACATCTGCTTAGCCTGGCAAACTTGGAGATCGGCACTTTGCCGCGCACCTCCGTCATGCAATTGTTGTCAATGTTGTCGGGCCTCAAGCAGGCGGTAGACGCGTGATGCAAACGCCATCTGTGCGGTTGATATAGGGCAACCCGGGCGAGCATGAAAGCGCCTCAACTCGGCCCATCGCGGCTTTGCTTCATCCGCCCGGGGACGACGCCCTCTCATCACGGCATCGGTGGGGCACGATGACTGCGCATACGCCTTTGCCAGGACAAGGCGAAGCGCGGAATATCTGATGCCGTTCACCAACTTGAAGATTCATTTTCTCACCTACTCAATCCCCCAGCTTAAGCTGTCCCTCCAAACATCGGCGCAGTCACACATCGTGATTCGCGACACCACATCTCCCGGCCCCACACCATGGACGCCCCCGACGACGGCATCCTCAACGCCGCCACGGCGGAGCAGCGCCTCCTCCTCCGGCACGCCGCCGCCGCCGCCGCCGCGAGCACCAACCCGCCCACGCTCCCCGCCGCCTCCGCCCTCCGCGCCGCCGAGGCGGCCCTCGCCCCGCGCGCCGACCCGGCCTGGCACCTCGGCGGCTGGGACGCCCGCCGCCTCGTCGCCCACGTCCTCGACGACGTCGTCCCCGCGCTGACCGGCCAGGCCGCCTCCGCCCGCTACTACGGCTTCGTCACCGGCGGCGTCCTGCCCGCCGCCGAGTGGGCCGACAACGTCGTCTCGCGCTGCGACCAGAACGTCCAGGTCCACCTGCCGGGCCAGACCGTCGCCACGGCCGTCGAGGACGCCGCGCTGGGGATGCTGGCGGGGTTGCTGCGTCTGGAGGAGACTCCTGACGGCAGTGGGAGTGGCGCGGGAGAAACGACGTGGCGCGGGCGCACGTTCACGACCGGCGCGACGGCGAGCAACGTCCTGGGCCTGGCGTGCGGTCGCGAGGCCGTCCTGCAGAAGAGACTCGGCGGTGATGACAGCTCCGCGGGAGTCGGCGAGCTGGGCCTCCTGGCGGCGTGTCTCCGCGCGGGCGTCTCCGAGGTGCAGGTCCTGACGAGCGCGGGCCACAGCTCGCTGTCCAAGGCGGCGAGCGTTGTCGGCATCGGGCGCGCCTGCGTCAAGGAGCTGCGCCGCACCGACGCCGGCCAGCCGTGGCGGCTCGACCTCGAGGCACTGGAGGCGGAGTTGAGCCGGCCGGGCGTGGCGAGCATCATCGCCGTGAGCGCGGGGGACGTCAACACGGGTGGGTTCGCACTCGGTGGCGTGGAGGAGTGGAGGCGGGTGAGGGAGCTGGCGGACAAGTACGGCTCGTGGATTCACGTCGATGGCGGTACGTTACGACTTCTTCACCCTTGATTGCCGAGCTAAGGAGGCTGACCGCTGACTGTGAGGATACAGCGTTTGGCATCTTTGCGCGGGTCTTGGGAGACCGCCACGAGTATGCCTGGCTCAAGAAGCAGCTCGAGGGCATTGAGCTGGCCGACAGCATCACGGTAGACGGTCACAAGATGCTCAACGTGGTGAGCACACGAAGTGTCCCCTGAACAGCAATATCATTAAGCTGACTGGCCCCTGCAGCCATACGACTGCGGCATGTTCTACACCCGCTCCGCGTCGACCCTCCAGTCCGTCTTCATCAACCCCAACGCCGCGTACCTCTCCTCGGGCTCCGCCTCCAGCATCCCCTCGCCGCTCAACATCGGTCTCGAGAACTCGCGCCGCTTCCGCGCCCTGCCCGTGTACGCCGCGCTCCTCAGCGAGGGATACCCGGGCTTCGAGCGCCTCGTCTCCAACACGGTGCAGCTGTCGCGCCGCGTGGCCGCCTACCTGCGAGACTCGCCGCACTATGAGCTCTTGCCGGACGAAGGCGCGCCGCTCGACCGCGTCTTCATGATTGTCTTGTTCCGGGCCAAGGATGCCGCCCTCAACGACGTGCTTGTCGAGCGGATCAACGAGACGCGGCAGATGTACGTGAGCGGGACGGCCTGGGCTGGGCAAAAGGCCGTGAGGATTGCCGTGTCGAACTGGAAGGTCGATGTGGAGCGGGACTATAAGGTCGTGGCGGCCATCCTCGACGCCGTGGCCGCGGGTGACGAGTTTGACATTGGAAAATTCGAAGCGTGATGAGGAATGAGCTCATATAGAAGCCTTTCCGCGGCGCCGAGCCCCAGCATTAATCGTAATATCGTCCCGTCACTCGCTCGTGGCCACCCGCGCCGTCCATGGTGATGTGTCGTCCGGCCGCTCAGCCAAACTTCTTGGAACCGGCCTTGACGGTGGCTCTCTTGTCGGTGCGCTTGCCCTTGCCGCCGAGGAGCTCGAGGTGGCCAGCGCGCTCGCCCAGCAGGGCCTCCGTCTTGGCCGTCAAGCCAGAGGTGAACTTCTTGTGCGCCTTGTCGATGCCGGCCTTGTTCTTCTTGGGCTTGGACACCTTGGACGCCTGCTTCTTGGAGTGCACGGCCTTGGGGGCCTTGGCCTTGGTGGACTGCTTGAACGCGCCCTGAGCCATGGCTGCTGGGGGATGCGGATGCCGGACGTGGTAATTGAGGGCAAAGGCGAAGGTGGTGATGGTGCAAGAGAGAGGGAAGCTTTGGCGTCTGGAAAATTTTGGGTCGGTCCCTGTCGCGGGGCTCACCGCTCACCTCCCACTGTGCCACAGCGAAAAACTGGGGCCATGGGCTCGGTGTGGTGGTGGTCGGCATTGGCTGTTCCTTCAACTGCACTCCTCCCTCGTCTTAGCAAGCTACGCATTCAAGGCGCACACATTGTTCCTTGTCTGCTTCTTCGTTTTGAACTTTTCTGATTTCCGCCTCTAGTATGCCCATCAGCACAGTGAAATCATGCATGCACCGCTCTTCAAACTTGTAGCTTGGCGCTGCGCTGCCCCGAGCCCATCGCCTCACGGTGGTGGCTGAGGACGCCTTGCAGCCTGTTCATCGCATCCGGTCCAAAGACAAGGGATTGATTGGCCTCGGGCCGTTGAAAGAGAGACCTTGCGCCTGGCGAAGCTGCAGAATAGCCTGCACCGCCCCTCCACGAATGCATCATTTGCTTCCCGATGCCCTCCTGAGCTGCTTCCTCCGTGACCTTTGGCAATTGGCGTCCTCAAGTCTTCCTCGATGCCCCCGCCCATTCCCAAACTCTCAGACCACCAGCAGAGCTTCCTGCTTTACTCTATTGAAAGCAGCTCGTACTGGATGAGTGTGCGTTTGCGGACTTCTAGTCGCCCGTTGCCACCCGCCCACGCCGGCACGTCCAAATGTCCCTGGGGTTCTCAGTCGGCGACTTCGTCGCCGTCGCCAAGCTCATCAAAGAAATATCCGGCTGCATTCGCCATGGCACGACCGCATCGTATCAGGCCCTCGATCTCGAACTACACACTCTGAAGAGGGCCCTCGATGAAATCGAACGCCTCCAATGTCCTCCCGGCCAAGCGTCTGCCGTCAATCAGGTCAAAGTCGCAGCCTTGAACTGCCGACAGCCCCTGGACCAGTTCGCCTCCAAGCTTCAAGCGTACGGCATCCTCGGCCTGCAGCCGCAGACAAAGCCCGACTTGAAGTCGAGTCTGGGGAGGCTTGCGAAAAAGGTGCAATGGGGTGTAGAGATGGAGGAACACGCCGTGAGACTACGCGCAACCATCGTCGCACACGTGGGCTTCCTCGCACTGCGACTGAACTTGATCGGACTGTAAGCCAACCTGTTTATGTTTTGTTTTTACAATTTGGCGGAAATTTCTGCTGACGGCCAAGAAACGCGGACTTTGCGCTGTCCCAGAAGTTGGACGACCACCAGAGCGCGCTTCGATCGCAGCTCGACCAAATTCGGGGCCAGGTCATTGCATCGGAGCGGAAGCAAGCTGCCCAAGGCTCACTCATCAAGGCAACGACGGGCCTCATCCTGGAACAAGTTTCTGAACTTGCCTCTGCGTTCGTCCTCCTCCATTCTTGGCCCTACGCCCCGGGCGCCGTGCTAACAATTGCAGATGCATCGGAGTGCGGCTCGACACTCTCGTCGACCTTGCCAAGAACATCTGGCGGTCGAATCTCAGAATCATTGCCATGGTGTCAGAGATGCATGGTCGTCTGCCACAACCGAACGCTTCGCACACCTGGTTTCAGGATCCCATCCGGTTCGAGGACGCCCTGGGACGCGTGTTCCCCATACCTTCAGAGTACAGCTGGAGTGTAAGCTTGCCACCTTATCGCTTGGCTCTTGTGCTGATACAGGGCACAGAAGGTCCACGCCATCATCCAGGACCAGTTCGCGACTGGCCCAGGCAGCCAGAAAGTCAAGTCTAGGGAATATCTCCTGTATAACTCATTAGACATGAGACGACCTCTTCCACAACAGCATGCTCATCTGCCGCCGGGCATGGCCATGACCATGACCTTCATCTTGGGGACATACGGGCCGCGAGCACCTGAAACCTGTCCAAGGATCGAATGTATGTCGCTCCAGTCCGTCGATGATGGGCTGGGCACTAGGTTCTGGTAAGTTGCACCGCATGTTTACAAGGAGATTGTCAGCTCAAGCCATGTTGCAGTAAAGTATGCAGCTGTCGATTCAACACAGCTGGTGCGAACATTGCACTGCCCTTCCACTGCCGAGGTCCAGCGGAAGGCTGGTCAGGCCCTGCTCGCCGTAAACGACCAAGACTTGCAGGAGCTTCTGCCGAGCTCCCTAACGTGGAAATGCATAACCGACGCCACGAAAGGCAATTGTTCAAGAATGTGTCCATCTACACCGTCGATCTACCAGCCACTCCGCCCGTGGTCAATTTCCGCCGCCCACATGCAGGCTACCATCGCCACGCCTCGGGCAATGGCGTCCGAGCCATACCGGACAATGGAGTTGCTCAGCCGCCTCACAATGCAGCCGATACGGCCACTCCCCATGTTTGCCAATGCTTCGAGGAGCACGTCGCCAATTCTAACAATTCAGTCCTTTCAGCAGACACGCGATCACGATCAAGCGCGAGCATCAGCAGCGCCACAACGACAACGTCTGACGTCCTCCCGCCCGTTCGGTTCCGTACCGTCACACGTCGAAAGTGCCGGCTTCGGTGCTGTCCTCGGTGCTGTCCTGAGGTCAGCTACACGTGCCTTGCACGGAACTTTGAGTCTACGCAGAAGCATTGTCCTCCTAAGCACCGTATGCTTGTTGACCCTTGGTGGCGTTTTTTCGAGGACAAATACCCGTTGCCGCGCAATCTTATTAAATTTTACAGTGAAAACGGGGTGGAAGAAGGGGATGATGAGATATTTTTGGACGGTGCGACCTAGCGAATGAATAATATGAAGACGTGATCGTTTCCAGCCCCGCAAGCCGTTGGGTAAAGTTATGGTCCGACGCCGAGGCCGGCGAGATGTGTCTAGGGAAAAGTTGCAGACCAGATTGGCGCCGGCGCCGCGCTGAAGGATCGAAAACCGCTCCTGTCGGCCCGGGCCCGACAATGCAGACAGAACCCTCGTGAGGGGGTTGCGAAAGCCTCTCAACGAGCAGCACAATTCACGTCATATAGTTGTATAATGAGCACGAGATCAGCGCCCGGATGTCTCGCGGCTGTCCTGGCTGACAGCAATGCGTTCGCTTCGGCGCCTGGTGTCAAGTTCATGGGCCTTTTGGAACATTCCCATCTCTCATTGCAGAGTCCTCGGCTCCAGGTTATGTCTTTCTGTGCAGTCACGGAGAAGATGCGCACCAGAATAGAGGTGGGCGCACATGCTTCAGTTACATGGAGTAGCTTCATGACTCTAATTTAGACAGTATACAGTGACAAACACCCATCAGGGGCCTCAGTACGCATGGTTGATCACCAGCCTCAAGACCGAAGGACTTTAAGCGCAGCCTTGAGGCTCTCAACCTCTCGGGACAGAGTGGCGCGCTGCTGCTTTGACTCTTCGTCCTCACCCGCAATCTCCTCCAACTGCTCGTCGGTGAGCCGCATCACCATGTCCGTGTCGAACACCTTGAGCGGACCCTCAGGGTCCGCCAACAGGTAGTGCCAGATGGCCTGCTGGTAGACGACGTCGACAAAGCGCTTCCGCGCCACCTTGTAGTAGCTGGTGAACGTGTCGAGCACGTCCTCGCACACCTGCTCCTCGTTGTCCTTGTTCTCTGCGCCGTTGCGCAGCTGGTTGACCGGGACGTATTTGGAGCTCGTGCCGTCGTTCTTGGTGCAGTTGACAGCCAGCTTCTCCATCGCGCTTGTGAAGCGATCGCTGCGCTTCTTCTGCAAGATGTCGTTGAAGTAGTGGTTGAAGGTCGCCGGCTGGTTCCTCTCGACGCCGAGCAAGAAGCGCGCGTGGGAGATCGCCTGGCGGTACTGCTGCACCAGACGGTCCACAAGGAAACCCTGCCAGAGCTGCGCACACACCTCTTCCTCAGGGCAAAGGATTTCAAGCAAGGCGTTGATGTAATCGTGCACCAGCACGATTGCTCTGCTCATGTGCAGCAGCGTCAACGGTTCCCACTTCTCCGACTGCTGCAAGAACACGGAAGACAAGACGGTACCACCGAACTGCGGCCAGCACTGATTAGTATCTGCCTAGAGGGGAGGGTTCTAGGGCTCTCTTACCGTTCCAAGCTCAGGGCCTCGGCTGGCCTGATAAATCTCTCGGATTCCGTCCATGATGGGCTTGTCAACCGGGTCCGGGCATCTATATTCTTCGGTGACGATTGTATCCTAAAGCTCGATGTATTCTTCGAGATCAACTTCGAACGGTAGCGAACAGTTACCTGGCTCCTCGGCCTCGTCCAAGGCAGCATCAAACTTTTGCAAGTAGGAACTTCGCGCGAAGATGTAAGAAAACGTCGTGTAAAGTCTCATAATCCTCGTGATCAACTTGAGCTCCGGGTTGTCTTCGAAAATGTCGTTGCCGGCATAGTGTCCGCTCAAGGCAGACATCGTGATGGTCTAGAAGCGCGTCGCAATCCTGCCGAGATAGAGTCTTTGGGCTCCGTGGTCAGCTCGCGCAGGGCCCATGTCTTCCAAGGCCGTCTCGGCGCAACGCAGGCGGTGGTCAATATCCGCCTTGACGTTGGGGAACTCTTCCTTCGAGATCTTCATGAGGAGATGCCGAAGGCGTTCCTTGAGAGTAGACACACCGCAGCGCTCAACAACGCCGCTCCATTCAGGGCTGCTGAAGAAGACTTTCTCGGCTTGCGTCCTCTGCGCCAAGGTTGATGTGGCATCATCGGCGCTGCGGTTTTTGACCACGTAATAACCGAGCTTCAGGTTGCTTCGTTTGCCGCGAACAAGGTCCAGGACCGCGCCTCGAGTAGCCTTTTCCAGGGCGAGATCAGGTTTGGTAAGAACTCCCATCGTTCGGGTACCCTCGGGGTCGGCAGCTTCAGCAAGCTTGAGGATCTCTTGGGTGGCAATGTCCACATTGCAAGGCATGACGGCCAAAACGCTTGAAGGCAATTAGCAAGATATCCGGATATTCGTGTACGTGTTGCTCACATCGTTCGACTGTTGTCCATATAACGCTTGACCATGTTCTCGACCAGCTTGATGTCCATCTCCGTCGTCAGGCCTACGTGCTGTCAGTGTCCGTTCCGAAAAAATTGCATGAACTGGGCAAACCGAAAGCTTACCAGGCGTGGGTACGCGAAAGATTCCAGGGACGTCGATGACGGTGAGGTGATCCTGCTGCCGCGTCTGTCAGCAATTCGAAACGGGATATGTTTATCGCAGGAAGACTCACATCGGGCCCGTAAATCTCAATCTTGAGTATGTCTTCGCTGAATGCGCCAGCCGTAGAAGTGGAAACTCCCGAGCCCATGCGGATGCCCATTGCCGCATTCGCCTGAACAGCATCAGCACTGGAACACTCGACGTTAGGAATAGACTGACATCTTGGAATATTTTGGCAAGCTCATCATTGTCAATCTTCGTGAGCTGACGCTGAAAGGCCAGCAGTTTGGCCTTGAGCTTGTCATCCGCGTCCGGACGCGGAATGATGGAGATGGCCACGCTCGGGAGAGGATCACGGCAGCAGGTGATCTGCGTCGCGTAGCGGGTGCACAGGCCCGTGGCACGCGGGAAAGAGAAGCCAGTCAGGCTTTCCAGAACTGAGCTCTTTCCAGACGACTGGTCGCCGACGACAACAAGCTACAGACGCGTGAGCGTGGCTCCAAGTCGGTCATTGGGATTTTGCATACCTGAGGCAGAGGGATCATGGACCCAACATTCAGCTCCCGGAGCTTGTCGATCTTGGCCAGTATGGCCTGATTACCCAAGCCGCGCTCCATGACAGCCTCTTTCGAGCATACAGTAGGCATACAGTGAGATGGGCCGAGCGGCTTGATGAAGAGAGTGGTGGCACGGTGGGAGACGTCACGGTCGGGGATGAAGGTGGAAAAGGGCGAAAGCAAACGGGTTGCTGAACACGAGAGGCAAAATGTACTACCAGGGGAGTGAATTTCTGAGGGCAGGCGACCAATTCGATCTGTTCGGCTAGGTCACCGCGTGTTCAGCGCTGGTACCCGTTGCCCGATGACCGAAGCAGCAAAGCGTTCCCTGGTCCCAGAGTCACTGCGCGTGACATGGAAGGCGTTGGAACTCAAACGATGTCCGCATCGGATCGTGGGGTGCCTGTGATGTCTGTCTCCCGAAAATGATTGCGAGGCCCAGTCTCTTCGCACGCATCGAAGTGTATTCAGCCCACAGGTCGATTCCTGGGCGCCTCCATCGGAAACTCGTCGACCTTCCGAGGCTGGCGAAGTGCAACCCGGCTCGGTGTATCTCACAAATAATATCCCAATGCTGCCTTTGCGCCAGTAGATTTCATCATGCGTACACGTCAATGGCCTCGCCCCTTTTTCACGTAGACTCGATTACCACCCGTCGCCCCATCCATCGTCGTCCTCCGTATCTTTCGGTTTCATGTCGATCTTCTTGGCCACGACAGGCTTAGCTGCGACTTTAGGCGTCGGCTTCTTAGTTGTCGTGGACTTGGATAAGCCCTTCGGTAACGGCTTGCCGCCTGGCTTCTTCTTCTGTGCCTGTGCTGCCAGCCATCCAGCGAAATCTGGCTCGGCATCGTCAAACGGCGCGGGGCTGGTAACTGTAGGAGCTTTCGTGGCGTTCTTTGCTGGTTCTGTAGCCTCCGTCTCTTCATTCTCGTCCATGTCTCCCATGTCACCCCAGGCGTCTCCCGCATCGTCGGCAGCGTCATCCTGGAAGAAAGCATCGGCTACCGCGCTGGGCGTGGGAGATGACGTCCCAGATGCGCCGGGCTGCGGTGAGGTTACAACTTGCCGATGAAGCGACGACGCCGAGGCCATTGCGGGCTTCCTGGAATCCAATCCTTGAGACGACGATGGCCGGTTGGTCGCACTGGCGGCTCCATTTGCCGTTTGCATATCTCCGGCAGCTGAAGAGATCTTGTTGGTGAAGGAAGAAATTGCCCAGCCGGTCCAACCAGACGATCCACTAGGCTGAGGTGTCCCCATGCGCGTTGGCTGTGCGTCAGCAGCCTGTGGAGGAGGGAGAACGGTATCAGGCATGGCCGCAGCCGCCTTGCGAACTTTTTGAACGTAGACGTCCATGGCCCGGGTAGCTTGCTCCCGCACGAGCTTCTCCTTGTCGATGAGCAGGGGGCAAACTACGGGCAGAATACGGGCTGCTGCGTCCTCGTCTGAAAAGTACTCGGACGTGGCCCCGAGCGCCATCAGGGCCGCAGTCCTCGCGTGAACGAACGGGTCCCTAAGAGATCGTGTAAAGGCAGCGATAAGCACTTTGGACCGCGATGAGGTGCCGAGATATCGTGCAATCTTCCCCAAGCATATGGTTGTGTTTGTGCGGATGCCGGGCTGTTCGTCGTTGGCAGTCTTTGCGAGGTGCTTGAGAAGCTCGCCGTTGATGGTTCGGTCAGAAAGCTTCGTGATGAGGACGAGAACGGACTTGAGCGTTTGCTCTCGCACCACTGGTTGCACGTCGGTAAAGCCAGTCACCTGGATGTGTTAACGATGCCGGCAAGTCGCACGGGTGAGTACCTACAATCTGAGGAAAGATCTTGTCATTCACCATCTTTTGTGACAGACGGTCGATCATCAGTGGAAGACTGTCCAGCAGACAGACACGAATGGCTCGGTCAGGATTGGCGAAAGCTCGAATGAGAAAGGGGTTGATCTTGGCCTCGAAGTCTTCGTTGGACAGCTTGGCCGCAATTTTCAGCACGACGCCGAGTGCCTTTGGGCCACCTCCGCCAAACTCAACAGACTTGATGAGCTCGGGGAGTACCTTGAGCTTGAAGAACTCCTCCGGAAAGTCATCACTTAGTTGGTCCAAGTCGCTACAAGTTTGTTAGTATTAACAAGGATGATCGAGGGCAGCAGACTTGCTTCAAGAATTCTTCCCGCTCGCTGGGCGACTTGACTCCCAAGTTATCGATACCCTCGGTAAGCTTGATCAAGGGGCTGTCAAAAAAGGCACCCGTGCGTGAGCCTTGATCGAGGAAGCTGGCGACAGTTATCCGAGCCTTGGGGTTGGCGTTGCAGAGCCGCTTGTAACTGGACTGCATCGTGGGAGGCACGTTTTTGGTTTGCCCAGCTTGATCGCGCCCGTTATAGTCCCCGTTGAAGACTTCGAATATTAATGTGCCAAAGTTGAATGAATCGACGGCCGAGTGCGGGTTCTTCTTGATGACATCCCAGCCGCCTTGAGCGATCTCAGGGGGGGCATATCGTGCAGAGTCTGGGACTAGACTTCCATAGGTCTGAACTGGTCAGCAAGTGCGGCTTTAGGCTGGCGGGAGACTTGCATAAATAACGGATTCGTCATCCTTGACACTGCTCAGGACCTCGAACCCGCCCAGCTTCCACTCGCCACTCTCCGAGGTGTACACCGACCCGACCTTGATGCTTCCGTGTATCGCCGACGCGTCGCTGTTGATGAATTTGAGGGTGCGCTAATGTCGTCAGCAGGGCCACCGCATCGCGCAAGGCATATTCTCGTACCGCGACATTGTGTAGCCCCCATTTAATCGTCTCGGGGCTGAGGCTCTTTCGCCGGACGTGCCATCGGAGGGGCACGACTCGCTCGGTCGCGATGTAGATGTAGGAGTCCGTCTGGGGCAAGCAGTCAGCGCGGCGCGCAACATTTCCGGTGCCAGACGTACCTCGACCGTGTCCAGCACCTTGATAACACCGGGGTGTCGAAGCGTCCGCAGTTTCTTAAGCGCGTTCTTGGCCAAGGGGAGGCGGCCTTTGTTGGAGGGGATGTCGAACGAAAAGATGCTGCAGTTGGAACCGTCTTCCTGTGGTGAGTTAGTCGCCGCCGGGTCTGACAGTTTGCGACGCTGCGTACCCGTCTCGTGCCGTTGTACAAGGTCCAGACAGACTCGTCAACGTCGACCTTGTCCCCGAATGAGTACGGAAAGGGAGGGCCCTGGGCCATGGCTGATGCCACGGCGGACTTGAGGAAGTCCATGGCTTGTCGACAGTGGCGAGGAGCGCGGCCTAGAGTGTTTGGGGAGCGCGACAAGTCAATCGGCGGCAGCGCGACGCAGCGTTGGACGGCGGTCGAGCGCTCGAGATCGAGATGACACGAAGCCTCAGCCTCGAGCCCAGGACGAAGTTGGAGCTCTACAAGTCGGCGACGCTAAGTTGAGTGCAGGGGAGGGCCCGATTGAGCCCCGCGCTGCCCCCCCTCCAGATGTTTAGGTGTTCGGGCAATGTGTCAGCTGTGCCGACGCGGCGCGCCAGTGGACGGGCGGGACGCCTGAGGTGCCTGGGCAGGGCCTTGGGGGCTCACTGGAGGGATGGTGGACGGACCTCCAGCCCAGGGCAGACGGGATGGTGGTGCGGCGACGGGGCACTGATAGCTGGAGGTGCCTTCCAG